GTTCGGGTGGTCACCATCACCAAAGGGTGCAGCAGCAAGAGACCCGTGCAGCAGAGGCTGCTGCAAGCAGGAGGCATAATCAAACAAGCAAACACACCAGGAATCCTTGACCAGGTGCTCCGAAGAGAAACTGCAGAAAGCATTTAGCAATCTCCCGTGTCACCGAGGTGGGTGCGTGTTAAAAGACGAAGAAGCACTTTACATATTTACATTTCCATGTGTATTAGGGAGCACACGCGAAGGCCCACTCAGGGAGACACGGTGCTGCCACAAAGGCAGCTCCAAGTGAGCAGCGGCCCCGCTGCTCCGCGGCTCCCTCCCATGGGGCTGCGCTGCTAAACCCATCAGAATGCAAATTGTTCCCTTTTAATGTGTAGCAGCTCTTGTGCTCAAGTGTTTAAGGTTTCCCCCCCCCCATTTTAATAATGGGAGATTCTATAGCAAAGAAATGGCAGTTCAGCATCTGCCTCCTGGCACATGGGTGCAGCCCCCCACGTATTTCTCCTGAGCTGAAGGATTTTGTCCCTGACGGAGCTCCTGGGTTGGAACATGGAGCTGCGGGGTCGTAATAAGCACTTCTTGTGTGGGGCAGAGCCTGTCCCCAGCTGCAGAGAAGTACAGAGTGAGACCCTGCTTTCCTTTGCTGGTTGTTCTTGGGGTGTTTTCTTTCCATCACTTGCTTTGCTGTGTCCCCTGCTTTGGGGGAGCTGGCCTGCTGCTCTGCCAGCACCATACCTGCTCCCTCCCCACTCCTTCTAGAGGGTTTCTTGCGTCCCAGCTTCCATCCTGGCGTGAGTCGTGCTGCCCCACTCCTCTGCCAAGTGCTCTCATGTCTCCTCTTCATCGTGTTAGTTCTTTACAGCAGTTCTCCTCCTCCGTGGTGCAGCTTGAGCAGCTTTAACACTGGATTTATTCCCTGTAAGGGAGCCCTGAAGGCCAGCAGTGGCAGAGCTCCCCAGGAGGTGGCAGAGGATGCTCCACATATGTGGGGCAATGGGTTTGTCCTCACCTTCAAACCAAGCAAGAGGCAATGGTGCATCCTCTCCTCTCTCCCCTCGCTGGCACAAGAGGCTGCCTGGAAAGCAAGGATGGTGTGGGAAAAGTACCAGCACATTTTAATTTCCAGCTCAACCTCTCCTGACCACTGTATTTTGATTAGAGCTCTGCTTCCTTTTCATCTCGGTGCTTGGGCTGGTGACAACTGCCACAGCCTCGTGCACGCAGTGCAATAGTTTATCACCGAAGGCCAGCCGCTCTATGAATTCAGAGCCAGCGCTGAACAAATCACACTGTCACTAACGTCAAACTTGTTAACCTGATCTTTGGTGGATCACTAGTGTCAACATTGCATGGGACATACATTATCGGGCCCAAGGACTTTGGGAGATGCGTTTGTCAGGCTGCTCTGTCACAGTCCCACTCTTGGCCTTCGGAAAGTAACTTTCAAGGATAAGCTGCTTGCCTCTTCCCAAGAGTTGCTGTCCCCAGGAGTGTCACCCCACGGCCACTGGCTGGGACAGGGCTGCGAGGGGAGGCTGGTCACCACGCCTGCAGTGCTGGTGTCAGCCCAGCAACAGGGGAGGGCTCTGTGCGGATGGTTGTGTGCAGTGTCTGCAGGGCTGGGCATGCATTGCCATTGATGTCCATCACTGACCGTGTCTATTCTCTGAGCTTCTCCCTATCTTCTCACCAACTGCTCTCACATCTCTTGCCCAGTCACTATCATTGTCACTGGAGTTCAAACCTGAAAACCAGTCCATTGCATGCAGTAGATTGGTGGGTTGCCGTTTACTGCACCATCACAAGTCTCCTGTGTTGGTTTGCCAAGTTCAGGTGCAAGAATCGCTCATGGTGTTTCTGACAGGGTTGATCACCATTGTGGAGGTCAGATGAAGGACGGGCCACCATGGCTGGCATGGTAACAGCGCGCTCAAGAGGTAAGCTCCTGCCCAAGCTCCTGGGGGTGATGGGTTCTGTGGTACCTTTGCTCAGGCTGGTGGCATCTCCTCCCTGGGGCTCCAGCCTGTGGTCCTGCAGGGGAATGGGACAACCTGCGCATCCTTCCTGGGGCTGTGTGCTGGTGGATGGGCAGGTAGGACTGCACCAGAGTAGATGCAGCTCACAGCCAGGGGGACCCCGATGTGAGTGCAGGATTGGAGCTCCACATCACTGTCCCTGTGGGCCGACCCCTTTAATCAGTTGTGAAAGAGAGAGAGAAAGCTGGAGAGAAATCTTTCTCTCTGGTAACCTCATCACAATAAAGATTCCTATAAAGAGCTCTTATCCTTGAAGAAAATGAGGCACATAAGCAGGAATAGTAAACAAAAGGCTGTCATTTTGACCCAGGAGTGCTTCATGTTGTTGGCAACTGCCAAGAGGAAACATAAAGAGACTCTGCATCCAAGTCCCAATTATGCAGAACTATGTGACTGATATGTCAATGAGTCCCCCCGGGGAGGAGACCACCAGTGCTTCCCGGCACTGCCTGTGCAACATCTGCACACGCCGCCCTGCGCGGGGCCTGCCCGCGCCCCGGAGTGAAGGCGTGCGTGGCATCGGAAGAATGCGGGGGACAAGGTAATGTCACCGGGAACGCTACCACCAAAGCCCCCGCCGCGCGCGCGCTATCGGCGGTCAGGGTCTGCAGGCAGGCGGCGGGCTCTGGCACACGGTAGTGCTGACCACACCTGCTGCAGGCACGCTCCGGGAACGTGGCTCAGGCAGGAGGGCTGCCCCGCCGCCGATAAGCTGAGTGGATGGAGATAAAATCCCAGGAGGAGATATGCTTTGCTGAGCATCAAGGCTACGCACCAGAAAGGAGCCAAAGCACGGCGGCGGGTGGTATGGTTCCAAGGGCTCTGGCTGCGGCACAGCCACGCCGGCCCCATGGCCCAGACACGAGGAGATAGGGTAGGGCAGTCATAGAGTCATAGAATCAGAGAGCGGTTTGGGTTGGAAGGGACCTTAAGATCACGCAGTTCTAACCCCCTGCCACAGGCAGGGACACCCTCCACCAGACCAGACGTGCTGGTGCCTGGGCCCATCAGGGGCACGAAGCAGAGGCTGCGCTGGTCCCTTAGTCATGACTGTGTCAAGGCAACTTCAGGGTCCATCCCTGGTACTGAACAGCAGCCATCCCCTCCCCAGCACATCCTCAGGGCCCTGTGCAGCAGGGCCACCCCATCCCTCCCTCCTGGGTGCTGTGGCCGTTAGCATGTCACCCCAGTCTGCACCTTCTCCCTGTCTGGGCACCCCTGGGGTTGCACACAGCCTACAGCACAGCCCCGTGTGCCCTGGCAGTGCGTGCTGCCAGGGGTACCCAAGGCCTCCTCGGGCATAGCTCATCCCACGTCCCAGCACAACCCCAGCATGGGATGGGGATGGAGAGCAGGAGCATGGGGAAGGGGTCAGTGCTGCCGCTGCAAAGGGCTCTGGCGCCACATTGCAGATGGGCCCGGGCATCACCGGCACTGCAGCCCCACGCGCCCGCTCTGCCGGGAGCCAGCTCTGTCCGACCCCGGAGCAGCCTTCCCGAATCCACCTTCCCAGTGCCACCAGCGCAGACCTGAGGGGCTGCACCGCGGCCTCTGCGCCGGCCCTGACCCGGGGCCACGTGCCCACCGCAGGAGCTGCGCCACGGCCTTGGCAAGAGCCCGCGCAGAGGAAGGTGCCCAAGGCCGGGGGGGGCCGTGCTGACCCCCGCGAACACCTTGCTGCAAAAATAGCAAGTGTCCGGCGTGAGGCCGGGGCTTCCCGGGGGAACAATGCCCGGCGGGAGGAAGCGCCCCGCAGCCCCGTCCCCTCCTCGCACGGTGCTGAGCCGCGAGCCGCTGCGTGCAGGGACCTTGAACCTGCCACAGATTTATTTTCCCTGCCATTGGCATCGCGTCGGAACATCTGGCATGGGGCTGATAATTGCTGGGGATCGGGGCGGAAGCTGCTCCAGGCCTGGCGCTTCTTCCAGAGCTCTGTTTTCATTACTTTTATTTCTCTCTTCAGCTGCAGAGCGAGGAAAAAACAAGCAGGGCTCTGCAGCTCCCTGCTCCCGCTCCTCTGCCTGCAGCCACAGCTATGGTGGGGGGGTGTCTCCCTGCTCCCCCCACTCAGCGGGAGTGCACTGCAGGGCCGGTCACCGTCATGCTGTGTCAGGGTTGCATTGATGCCAAAAGGAATGAGCTTTTCCCCAGCCCCTGAGCCTGGGATTGCAGGCACTGCCCTGCCACCCTGGCGCCAGCAGCTGCCCATTTAAGGCAGAGCTGTGGTACAGCCGTCACTGTGCTGTCACAGGGCTTAGGGTCATGGTTGCCAGCCCATCCTCAGGGCTGTCATCGCTGCAGGACAAGGCAAGGAGCAGGACCCTGTATGCAAACACACAAGGAGACGCCATGGTGATGGATGGCCAGAGTGCGGGGCCGGCGGTGGGAGCAAATCCCTGCTCTGATGGGATGGGAGGTCTCAACGTGCAGCCTCTCACCGCAGCGCCCGGCCTTGCTGCCCTTGTGTTCTCACAGGGCGATTGGAAAACCAAGCCCTATGGCCAGCACAGCACCCATGGGGAAACAGGGAGCAAACACAGATCCACTGCCAGGGGTTGGCTGCTCCTTGAGTGCTGCTCTCGCACATGCAGAGCTGCTGACCATGGGCGCTGTGAGCTCGCAGGGACCTGAGACATGGGGCCTCATGCTTGGAGGAGCCTCTTCCCACCCTCCCCTGCACTGAAGAGGAGACGGCACTGGATGGGTGCAGTGGGCTCACACTCCTCCTGCCCTGTGCCCGTGGCCCCGTCCCTCCCACCCTGGGCTGTAAATCAGCAGGGCTGTGGGTGCTGGTGCACTCCCACCCACCGGTGCCCCCTGCCTTCCCACAGGGTCTCTCTCCTGTGGCGCGTTATCTGCCGCAGGGGTCCCACTTATCTCCGCTGTCACTTTCTAATGCTAGTTTATGGGCAGCATTTTGTAGCTTAATTATGATGGTTTTCAGCATGGTCACGTGGCCACAGAAGCCAATAAGGCACCGAAGTGGGTCCATCCCGGCTGAGCCTGGCCCCTATGGGGAGGAGATTGGCCGACGTCCTGGCCGGGGCGGCGTGTGCGCAGCCAGAGCCCCGACACCTTCCCGGCGGACACAGGTCCCATAAATCGCCCATCCCGCTGCGGACGGGGCAGCGGTGCCCAGCACCTCCTCGGGTCACAGCTCCTGACGGGCGGTGCGGGGGTTCTCCTGCGGTGCCAGCCCCACACTGCAGCGTGCACAGGCAGCGCGTGGTGAGTACGTGTCTGTGGGGAGAACCTTGGTCCCTCCGTCCTGCCCGTCTGCCAGCCGCTGCCGCCATTCCCCGGCATGGTGGTAGCCAAGGCCAGACTTAGGGACGCAGCAGGGCTTGGTGAGGAAGCAGGAGCCGTGCGTGGGCCTCTGCTTCCTGCCCCATCACCATTAGAGGGTGTGGGGACAGAGGGTCTGCACACTGCGGGCAGCAGAGCGAGGCCTTGCCGTAGCCTTGGCCCCTCGGCCGTGCTGCTGCACAGAAATGACAGACCTGGCTGCAGAGGGGCTCTGGAGGCCCAGCCTCTGGTGACTGTGGGTCCCCAGTCACCCCACTGCATTACTTGCAGGAGCACAGGGAGCCCCAAGACCCTGGAGGATGTGTGGGAAGCGGTTGGGACCCCTCGGTGTCCAGAGCTGGATGAGCACATGTCCCTTCCCCATCCCGCACCAGCCGGCGCGGCAGCCCTTGGCTCCGAGTTGCTTTTGTTCCTCAGGGCGTTTGCTCGGCTCTTCTCCCAACCTGCGGCCCCTCTGGGTTCCTCTTCCCGGATGGCAGCTCCGGCTCCATGGCTGCCCGGCAGCTCCCACGGGAGCTCATGGGGGCTGTGGCTGAGGGGCTCTGCCGGCTGTGGGAGCGCTCCTGCCCCGCACCGGGGGCTGCTCCGCTGCTATTCTTAGCCCGGGCTCCATCGCTGGTGGCTCTGGAGCGATGCTCCGCCGAGCCCGTTTCCTGTTTGCCGCTCGCCCTGCCAGCGCCGCTTCCTACCCGCCGCACCCGGTGTGGGATGAGCCGTGCGGGATGAGCTCTGTGTGATGGATCGTGCAGGACAAGCCGTGCGGGATGACCTGGACAGGACGAAATGTGTGGGATTGAGATATGTGGGATGAGCCATGTGGGGCCAGCAGCCCTGGCATGGGGCTCCGCTGGCAGCACAGCCCCAGCCATGCGGTAGCTTCCAGCACCCACAGCCTAAGGTCTCCTTCATCACTGCCCTCCCTGTAGCTCCTCGAGCACCGAAACACCTTGAAGAGGAGCTCCCTCCCCATGGCTGTGCGGGCATCTGGGTCCTGCCATGCTGGGACAAGGCTGTGGCTCTGCACCAGCCACAAAGGGTCTCCTTACCGAGCGGGTTGGCCCTGATGGGATGGGTTCCGCTCCAGTGCCCAACCCAGAGCCTCAAGTTCCCTGTGGCCAAGTGCTGGCCTGGGATCATCCCAACAAATAGGATGTGCCGGGAGCATGGGTGCTCCTGTGCCGGGCTGCTGCCGTCATGGAACATTTCATTAAGAATCCCTGAATGTGCAGCAATGAATTAAACCCTGGCGGTGAACAACCGCTGTCTGGCAGGCAGAGGAGGACACTGTTGGCAGTGGCTGCTCCTCGCAGGGTGGCCGGCGTTAGGTCTGAACCATCAGTGGTCCCAGCGGACGTGTCCGGAGCTGCTGCATGCCCCAGTGCTCCTCACGCAGCTTCCCCAGGCTCTGGGAGCCAGAAGGGCCTCTTGGTGCGGGGTAGCAGGGCCTCTGGCAGGACCCGGGGGTCTGGGGGCTGTGCATTGAGCGGGGCCGGCTGCGGGGTGCTCCTCTTGCTCAGCCACGTTTAATTGTGCTCCAGCCCTGGACTCCCGGCTCCCGCACTGGTCCTGCTGCTCCCAGACCAGATGCCTGGGAAGGTGGGGTGCTCGTTACTCCCCACGGATGGCGTGGGGCAGCTCCACCGGCGGACCAAGGAAGGTCTCATACCCCTTCGGGCAGAGAGGTGCCCGGTGTCAGCCAACCGGTCCCGGTGCTGCTGGGGCCTGCCGGAGCAGCGGGGGCTGCTCCCTCCCGGAGCCAGCGAGCCCCGGCTCCCTCCCTGCCCCCGGCTGCTAACGGGAGCTGCCGGCCCGTGGTGCGGGGCCCGTGGTGCGGACCCTGCTGTCGGCAGCGGGGCAGAGCGGCCCCAAGTCCCCGTGTGCCCGGGCTGGCAGGTCCCTCCGCCCCCAGCCCGTCCCCGGCGCCGTGAGCCGCCCGCACTCCCCAGAGGAGGTTCCCCAGCCCCCGGGGGGTGGCCGCTCGCCCGCACCAACATGGAGATGCTCTTCCAGGCGCTATAAAGGGCTCCGGCTTCGGCACCTGCCGCTCGGTCTCCGCCGCGCTGCGCTCCCGCTCCGCACCCAGCGCAGGGGCTGGGGGCCGCGCTCCCCGTCCCCGTCCCGTCTCGCTGACCCGCTGGCTTGTCCCGCAGCAGGGCCGCTGGAGGGGATGGAATATTCCTATGATGAGGACCTGGACGAGCTCTGTCCGGTCTGCGGGGACAAGGTCTCCGGCTACCACTACGGGCTGCTCACCTGCGAGAGCTGCAAGGTAGGAACCAGCTGGGGCGTGCGGGGACTGGGGCGTGCGGGGACCGGCTCCCTGCGGAGACCGCTGCTCGGGGGAGAGCGGGCTGAGGCCGTGCAGGGAGCGGGGAGGGGGCTCTGCAGGGGCCGGGGCAGCGGGGCCGGCCGCGGGCCGCTCCGCGCCGGTTTTCGTTAGCGGCGGATTCGCGCTTGGCAGCGGGATGGGAGCGCGGCCGCGACGGGAGCCCCGACCGCGGCGGGGAGCGGCGGGAGCCTCCGTCGGAAGCGGGGGTCGGGGATGGATTGCAGGGGTGTCGATGCCGGGCTGCCGGTACCGGTGCCCGCCGCATCGCCTCCGCCCGCCGCCGCAGGGCTTCTTCAAGAGGACGGTGCAGAACAACAAGCACTACACCTGCACCGAGAACCAGAGCTGCAAGATCGACAAGACCCAGCGCAAGCGCTGCCCCTACTGCCGCTTCCAGAAGTGCCTCACCGTGGGGATGCGCCTGGAAGGTAGGGGCACACCGGGGCTCACCGGGGCACACCGGGAATGGGGGGTCCGGGGCCGGCGGGCTCTGCGCGGTTCCCCGGTGGCGGTCGCGCTGCTCCCGGCCGCCGCCGCCCGCCCCGCCGCGTCCCCGGGCCGGTGATTCCTGCGGCCGCTTCAATTCCGTTTTCCCCTCCCAAGTTAAGGAAAAATTCGTTTTTTCGCGTCGCCTCCTGCTTTTCCTTGTTTTGTTTTGTTTTTTTTCCCGGGGGGTTTTGGCTGCTGCGGCTGCAACTTTCCAGGATTTTCTTTGCTGGCAGAACGGTTGGAGAATAGCGTAGGAATTATTGTGTTCCTTAAGCGTAGGAATTAGTGTTAATTTCAGAAGCCGAGACTTAAAGAAAACGTTAAAAATAATGGGGCTCGCAATAAAACTACTGCGGACCCTCCACGAATCACATTTCTCTTCTAGGTGACATTTAGTGTAACAGATTTCTCCCCTTGGCTCTCGGGGAGCGCAGTCACAGCCCCCACGGCCACCACCTCGCTCATGTCAGAAAGTCGATCTCGATTGAGACATCAGAGTCAGGCCCAAATATCCCCGAGTCGTGTGTTGTGCTTTCTGCAACGCTTAGCATGGGCTACAAAATACTCTTGGGGGGACAGATCGCTGGCAATCGATTGCAAGAGACACAGAAAGGAGCCCCCAGTCCCAGAGTCAGCTGCACCCCCGCCTCTTAGCCCCTGAAATCGTTTTCATTTTGTAGCGGATGGAAGCGGTCGGATGCACCGGCCGGGGCGAGGCCCCTCCCTTGGTCGGGCTCTGTGCACAGGGCTTTGCCCTCCCGGGAGCTCAGGGCAGGGTGCGGGTTAATCACAAAGTAGTGTGTGTTCTCGCACGGCAGCCGCTCGCTTCCAGGAGCGGGAGCAGAGCCTGCGAGCAGAGGCGCAGGAGTAAGACACAACAACATCGAGCTGCAAAATCAGCCCCTGAAAACTCCCGGCGTGGGCCGGCTTCCAGCCCCGTCTCCACAGATCCCAGTTTCCCTCCTCCCTGGGCTGGAGTTACTGGTGCCCTAGATCAATCCGTGCATGCTCTGGCAGCTCTGACCAGTGCTGCAGGAGAGCTTGGGCACTGGGCAGGGGCTCAGGGCTCTGGAGCGGGCAGGGGCAGTGACTGGGGTGACTGGGGCACAGGCACGGTCTCAGTTTGCCCCTTTTCAGCAGTTTTTGTCTTGCTCACCATGGAGCTCCTTTGATCCCGGGTCCTGGAGGGCAGTGGCCGGGGTATTATAGGAAGCTGCTTCTCTCAAACAGCCTTTTTTTGTATTTTCTTGCTGTTTGCTTCTTAGTCGGGCGGATCACACATCGGAGGGTGATATTCCTGTGGGACTGGTCCTTTTGAGGTAAAAACCAAAGCCCACCTTTCCTTAGTTCCTAGTGTTTTGGGGCAGGGAATCTGAGGTGATGTTTTGAAGGTGAGCGCCCAGCTCCACAGGACAAAAGCAAGCCTGAGAGGATTAATTTTTGGGACAGAGTGATGACACAGGACCCTTCAAAGTGCCTGAAGGGACGCTGCAGGGAAGCCTGGCTAGGGAAAGCAGCACACCCTGACCCAAGCCTGATTACAGCCCTGGGCACTCCCAAAGCCCCTTCCCCAGGCAGGGGGAGATGGATGGAGGCAGAGGGGATGGGAGAGGGGAGGTAGAGCTCGACCAGCAGCTCAGCTTAGCCGGGGATCTGCATGGGGATGAGGGCTGGGCAGGCAGATGGAGCAGGAAGGGGTGATGCAGCGTGGCTGGGGGCCCACTCCTGCTGCCGTGCCCGTGCTGGCTGCCTGCACCCCGGGTGTGTGGCCCCGGGGCTGCCTATGGATGGTTTTATTAGGGCTATGCGGGGGGTGCAGGCGCTTCCTGGGTGGCTTCTCTCAGGACCCCTTGCCCCAGAGATAGGGCACATCGACTGCTTCCCACAGCCAGCTGGGACACGGCAAATAGCAAGTGGTTCCCGATCCCAAGTGAGGCACAACGGCTGGAAAAGTGGAGCAGAAGGGAATTACGAGGCCTCTTCTCCCTTTGTGCTCTTGCTGGGAGAAGGAAGGAGGTGTGCTGGTGGTGGCCTGTGGGGGATTTGAGACACTGAACTACAAGCGCCCTCACAGGCATCACCAGTGGGGTCCCTGCCTGAGCACCCTTCCCAGGGTCACAGGGATCTGGGTTGCGATGGGATCCCTGGGCACTGCTGGGCCTTGCCTCCAGTGGTGGTGGTAACTCATTATGTTCAGGGGAGATTTGGGTCTGCTCTGGCATTGCTGTGTGTGTGTCTGGGGATGCCAGACCTGTGCCAGCTCAGGCTGTGTGACGGGCTCTGCCCTGGGGCATCCTGGCTGGGGTGCACACACATGCTGACTGCAGCCACCTCCCTGCACCCCTCAAGTTAGGAACTGCCCCGGGGCGGCTGTCTGTCACCCCAGGGCAGGCTTTCAGGATCCAGGGGCCCACAGCACCCCTCGGCTCAGAGGATGGCTCTGGCTGCCCTCTCGCAGCGAGATGCTGTTTTCATGAATAAAGAATGAGGGAGGAAGCTCGGGGCGGCTCCCCTGGGAGCACATTCCTGCTCGCCCTGGAAATGCTGCTGCTCCCGACCATGCTCCCGCCTTTGCAGCCTGCCGGGGAAGAGTTTGGGAGGTGGCCTGGCTCTCCGGGGCGGGGGGCTGGCTGTGCTTCCAGCGGCCGCAGGATGTGTAGGGGAAGGAGAGGCAGAGGTAACAGACGAGCCGCAAAAGCAAACCCTGCCTGCTGTCAGCGGGGATGTGAAGTAGCGCAGGGGTTTTTCCCTTTGATGCTAAGCCCTGGCACTCTCTCCTCCATCCCTCTGCACGCCCATCCAGCTCCCAGCGAGCTGAGGCTCTTCCAAGGGTGGGCTGCCTCGGGAGCGGTGCGGAGGGACGAGCTCGGGCTGCAGAGAAGCACCTGCTCCCTCCCACGCTGACACATTCTTGGGCTTCTTTGGGGTTCAGAGGGAACATCTGCTCTGCTCCAACCGGGAGATGCAATGGAGCTGTCAGTGAGTCTGCCAGCATCACTGCAGAGCTCTTTGGCTGTATCCTGGATGCAGGGCCCTGAGGGGGCTCTGGGGTCCCAGGCTCTGCAGAAACAAGGAAATCCCAAGGATGGTCCAGAATTAGGGGCCATGAAGATGAAAGTGGGTGTTGAGCCTCCTCAGGCTGCCCCCTTAACCCACAAGGGTTGCAAACTCCTTTACCCCCCAACCCATTTTGTAGGTAAAGCCAAATGTCTTTTCCTTTCCTTCAATTCCCAGAGGCTCTGAGGGTGACACCAACAAGAGCCAGGGCCTGAAGCTGCCATGTCACATCCGTGGTGTGCACGGCTGGGCTGGGAGCAGCACAGCCTGCGGTTGGTTTCCTGGGAATGTCTCCCTGGTCCCCCTTCAGCCCTTTTTAGTCACCAAATCCCCCCCATCATTTCCTCCATGCTGCACGGAAGCACTAGTCCCCTTCTGAGCAGGTTCACTGCAGCCTCTGCCCTCTCTCTCCCCCAGCTGTGCGTGCAGATCGGATGCGTGGAGGGAGGAACAAGTTTGGACCCATGTACAAGCGGGACCGTGCCTTAAAGCAGCAGAAGAAAGCTCTGATCCGTGCCAATGGCTTCAAGCTGGAGACTGTGCCTCAGATCATGTCCCCGGTGCAGAACGACTACAGCCTGACCTCCACCATCCACAGCATCCACGCCATGTCCAAGACCTTGCCGCCCAACCCAGCCGCCCTGACACCCATTGACTACGAGCGCAGCCCCTATGGGACACCTTCCCTGGGAATGACTATGCCCAGCCACCCTCCGCTCGCCAACTACCACTATCCCTCCTTCCCCAACCGCGCCATCAAGTCCGAGTACCCGGACCACTACACAAACATGCACGAGTCCATGCCCACCTACATGTACCCAGAGACCTACCCCAGCAGCTCCCCTCCTGACATTCCCGACATCATCATGAAGCTGCTGCAGCTGGAGCCTGATGAGGCCCAGGTCAAGGCACGGATACTGTCCTGCCTGCAGCAAGAGCAAGGCAAAGGCCGGCACGAGAAGCTCAGCACCTTCGGCCTCATGTGCAAGATGGCCGATCAGACCCTCTTCTCCATCGTGGAGTGGGCACGGAGCTGCATCTTCTTCAAGGAGCTGGAGGTAGGAGCCCGGGCAGGGGTAGGGATGCTGCACTGGGTGGGACATTGGAGGTGGGTAGGTTTGGGGATGAAATGCTGTGAGGATGGGATGCTGTGGTGGGCTGCAGACCTCCTGGTGTGTCCCCATCCTGTTCCTGGTTCCCTGCACGGCAGGGCTGGAGGCACCGGAGCCCGGCTGCAATGCCGGAGCAATTCCTGCTGTCACCACGGGGCTAATGATTTGAGATCCATCACGGCGGGGGCAGGTGTGGAAGCAATCGCCGCAGAGTGACTGCGGTGTCAAGCTCAAGATATAATTGAAAAATGTAACGTTGAGGAATTGTAGTTGAGACAATTCCCTCCTCCGCCTTTAGGAGGAAAATCGATGCTGTCAGGTGGGTGCCTATTAGCGCCCGGCAGCCGGGGCAGGGCTGGTGGGGCAGGGGGCACCACCAAACCTCCTCTGGAGCTGCTTCTGCTGCCGGCAGCCTGTGAGTGTGCCCACTGGGGATGTGGAGCTGACCCCATCCTGCCAGGCCATCCCCTCTAGCAAATTGTTTTCCATTCATGTCCTGGGCTACGATCCCAAACTGAGGCAAAAATGGGAGAGAAGATGTTGCCATGGGGCCAAAACCCAGAGAGCCACATCCTGGGAGAGCTGGGTGCCTTCCTGTGCTTCCAGCATGAGGCTGTGCTGCCTGGCTCTGGCCAAAATCACCTTCCTCCTGCAGTGCCATGGGTCTGAGCGTGGCAGAGCCTCATAGCTCAAAATAGCCGCCGGCTGCCAGAACAGTGTCAGGAAATGGCATTGTGGGGGTGGGCCGGGCTCATTTCAATCATATCAGTGTCCAGCCTGGATTTTGGGAACAGGGTGGTTGTTGTTTTGCAGGAGATATTGTAAACAGTGTAAATGCAGCTCCCGGTTGCATTGCTGCGTAGCCTTGTAACTCCATTGTCAGCTTGATTGTGCCACCAAAATAGGTTGTTTCCGTGTGAATCTACATCAGTGGGAGCTCCTCTTGCCATGGGGCTCTGGGAGGTGAATGGCACTGCCAGAGGCCTCCCCTGGGCAGGACCACTGGCATCCTACCGGGAGTGGGGCATGTCCCCAATATGGCCGGGACACGGGGTGTGGTACCCAAGGATTGCACGTCCCCATCCATCACTGCCATCCTGGGCTCTTGTCCCTTTTGCCTTTATCATGCAGTGAGCATGGGGCAGATTCCCAGCATCTCGCAGGGCCAGGGACCGCAGGACACTGTCCAGAGGAAGTGGGAGAAAGAGTGGCTGTCGCTGGCCTTGGCTCCCTCCCCTGTGCTGGCTCCACAGCACACAGCGTAACGAGGCAGGTCCAAGCCCAGCCAGCACAGTGCTATGGTGGTGCCCGGGCTCCTCTGTGCTGTGTCCCCCCTGGGGATGGTGCCCAGGCAGCTCTCCACCAACCCGTCACAGTGCATCCTTCCTGGCACACGGCAGTAGCTTTCCCTTGGGCACATGCAGTGAAGTGGTTGGGATGCAGGAGTAGCTCTGCAGCTCCTGGAACCCCACTGCTGTTGCTGCCCAGCACATAAAAGCAAACAGCTGCTGGGGCGTTAAATGAACTCCTGCTAGTGCAGAGTTTATGGCTTTACCCTAAAGCCTGCTAGCACGGAGTAAAATCGCGATCCCAGAGATCGATGGCCGCCATTCAGGCAGTCCCTGCTGAGTGCTCAGGGCTCCTGGGAGCAAGGGATGCCTGTCTATCCCCTGGAAACATCTGTGTGAAAGCGATGGTCTCCATCCCCATCTGGAAAGGGCTCTTGTTTGAGGCCAGTGCAGGGATCCAGGCTGGAACAGCATTGTGCTGGGACATTGCTCCGGGGCACCATGCCGGGCTGATGCCAAGCAGGGAGGGGATTCAGGGGGTTGATGAGGGGGTTCAGGAAGACGACCCCATGCACAGTGTCCCCTGCCTGCCTGAACGTTCCCAGAACCCACATGCTCCTGCTGCGGGACTGTTCTGCAGACTGCTGGCTTCTCCCATGGGCCTCACAGGGAGCCTGGAGAGGAGGGAGCAAACCCTTGGGAACACAGGGATGCACTGGTTCATGGCTGGCTGGGACGAGCCATTGCTCCCTGCCAGTGAGAGCAGGAGCTGGTCCCCTCTGGAGCTGGCAGTTCTGTTTCCCATTCCCATTCCCACACTCGCAGCCCATCGAGGGGCAGTGGCAGAGCGGGTGCTTCGCCATCTCCTCCCAGCAGGGTGGGCGCGATGGGGGGTGTTAGAGAGACACCCCCTCGGCTCCACCGCTGCGCCTGGGGAAGGAGCGGGGGGGAGCTGTGCTAATGGCCTCTTGACATCGGCTCACACGCCACGTCCGCCCGCAGGCGCGGGGCAGTCAGATTGAAAACAGATTTAACTTCCCAGATATATCGTTTCATTTAAGGGCCAGTAATTCTGTCAGTCTGCCACTGACAAACGAGGGTCCCCATGCCAATCCGCCGCGGAGACTGATGTCGCGGCGCTCATCTCGTGTCACCAGGCAGAGAATTACGGACTGCACTGGCCTTCGGAGGCAAGACTAATAATGCCGCGCGGCAGAGGGGGATTTGGGGGCCCGCTTGTTTATCGAGGGCCGGCCAGGCAGCCGCGGCGCGAGGCCACGCGGGCGGAGGTGGAAGAGGTCAGCGCTGACGCCCATAAATACGAACTTTAACTGAGTCTAGATGAGATGTGTCAGGGCTGGGGGAAGATTTGCAGCATCTCTTCAGGAAGAAAAATATGGGCCGGGGGTGAAATATATTTTGTTGGGTCGTGAGTCTCGGGCAACTTTGTCCTTTCAGATGTAATTTTTTTATGTATGTATGTATGGAGAGAGGCACAGGGAGGGATGTGCGTCCACACACTTGCACGCTCACTTTGTGCCCGCTTTCGGTTTGGTTTATTTGATTTGGTTTATATAGGTGTTAGTGCCGCACATATATATAAATGTCGTGCGCAAGGGGTGCAGTGACCTTTAGATTGGGATGAGCAGCCAGGAATGTTTAAACAAATTGCCATGGTTTCAGCCCGAAGGCTGGGCTGGGCTGGTCCCTGCTGCTGGTGGAGGGGCATAGTGTGGCTGTGGGGAGGTGGGTTAATGCTGGTGCCCTCCTCAGCCCCTTGTGGCCATGGGGCTGGGGCAAACCCCCCTCCCATCCATGGGCAAGCACCAGTGTGTGAGGGGGAGCAACACACACTGAGGACATCACTGTTCCTGCAGACCAAGGGGTTCCTGGGGCTGGGCTGCTCTCCCTTGATTCTCATTAGAGATCTCAGAGCCACGACAAAGCCTATCTGTAGTCAGTTGCTTCTCTGCCTTTAGCATGCGTGGGTCATCTTGACCCCATCTCCTGGCCAACAGCCAGAGCGTTTTTGGCAGATTTAAAATCTCCTTCTGGTCATGGATGCTGCAGCAATGTTTAGCATCCTGTGCACTGGGGGAAATGTGACAGCTTTCCCTGCCTGATAGTGATCCGGCTGGCACAGCCCTGCCCTTGCTCCTGGATGCACATAGAGTCCCAATGCCCATGCATTGTTGCAGCCAGTTCCCCAGCAAAAAGCAGTAGCCCGTGCCACAGCAGTGTGCTCTGCCATCAGGGAGATGAGATATTTCTCTAAACATGGTCTCGATGTTCTTTTGCTTTAAGGTGCCCATCATGTTGGTATCTGGGCAGTGGGATGGAGACCTTCATTGACCATTAACACCTTGGATTTGCGTGGGGTTTCAGTGCAGGTGGCTAGTCGGTAGTAAACCAGTTTTTCACTTCTTGGTAGCCAAGGTGGTGGGTCCTGCTTGCACCCAACAATTGCCTGGGCTGCAGCTCAGCATGCTGGCATGTGCCGTGTGCCTGTGGGGATGGCGCAGTCCCACTCCCTGCATGGGTGGTCCAGAGCATCCCCCACTTCGGTGCCACCATCTGCCCTTGACCAGCTTTGGGATGCTGAGGATCTGGGGTGGCCTGGCCACATTCTAGGGAGCCCCAACACTCCCAGGGGCTTCCTCTCCTTGTGCCTGTTGCAGCAGGTTTAAAACTGCATCCACATACGGGTCCTGCAGCCCTGCACCCGGGCAGTGCTCTGCACATCCTGCCACCCATGCTTCTGCACACCCTGCTTCCATCCAGACCATGGTCCCAGGCCTTTGGCACAGGGAAATGCATTTTTCTGTTGGTCACAGCAAGGTGCTTCTAGTGGCCGGGTGGCAGGGCAGTGCTCTCCCTGCCTGGTGAGGGTTTTGCTGCCATGTTTTGTGAATGGGTTAAATGCCTGCTTTAAAAAATAGTAATAATTAAAACCACCTCTTAAAGACAGGTTGCACCAGGTCCTTGATAAAGCTCTCCATGGAAAAGCCTTGACATTAAAAGAGGAAGATCCTTTGCTTAACTTTTAAAGGCGAAAGTGCATGTGTGCCGCCTCTCTGGGAGGATTGATTGACTCTGAGTGGCCTTCCATTAGCAGCCTCTGCTCCTGGGGGGGCCAGGCTGGTGCTGGGTGCAGGGGAGGTGATCTCCAGTGGGGAGCCGGGGCAGGATACCCCCTGCTGCCCCAGCCCAGAGCATGGGGACACCCCGCTTGGTGCTGGGGTGCAGTCAAGGCTGGGTCCCAGCCATGTGCCCCCAGTACCATGGCCACATGTCTCTAGGGCACTGCGATGTGGCCAGGAAAGGGCACAGGGGAGAGAACAGCCATGCAGGAGCCATGCAGGGCAGAGCATGCTGCTGTTGGGGTGCAGGGGGGTGCTCTGCTGCGGGAACTGAAACCACCTGCAGAGTTTGGGAGAAGCTGCTCAGTAGTTTTTAAAGGAAGGAAAGATTTCAAAATGGTTGAAATGCTCCTTCTGGAAGAGCTGATTTTTTTTTAAAGCCGTTTTCAAGGCAAAACTTTCAGTCTGTCCCTTCTGGAGCTCGTCCCACTCAGGAATGAGGCACAGGAAGGAGCTTCCAAAACAACACTGCGACTCAGCTGGAGCAGAGGAGCTCGGCACCCGACAGGAGTGTGTGGCTGTGCTGGCAGCACGCTGCCATGCTGGGGGCCCAGGTCCCTGTGAGGGCTGGCTGAGGTTGCAGTCATCCACTCACTTTGGGGCAGAGGGCATCCCGAATGCAGAAAATCTCCATTTTGTTTTGATGCAGAATGAGCTTTTCCCCAGTTCTTTGTTCAGTGACTGAACAGAAACCTCATGGCCTGTGCTGCTGGGCCATGCACCGTGGCTCCTTCATTGCTTTGGGTGATGTGGCAGAGAGCCCAACCTTGGCAGCCCCATTGCACCCACTGCACCTCGCTGCAGGCAGGTTTCTTGCCGTCGGGCAGGAGCGGGTGCTGCAGCCCTGCCTGCCATCACTGCCTTCTGTACCGCATCTCCCTCCCCGTGCTGCTTGTGTCTGCCTCTGACCACCCACCACACTTGAGACACAAATCCCGGTGGCTCACGGTGAGGGCTGGGCTCCAAGACCATAAAGCTCTTTCTCATCCGACTTCTATTCCTTTTGCAATCTCCCAGCACTGGTTTATTGCAGCCTCTTCAGCAAAACGAGGGTATTATCCAGCCCTGTGATACTGCATCTGTCTTCCTTCTATTAAAGGCAGCGAGCACAATGGCACTGCAGAGCTCTTCTGCTGGCGCTGAATTTGCTCTGCAGGGAAGTGTTACTGACAACCCCTGCACCAGCCTTGTAGGAGAGGGGGGGTTCCAAGCTGAGGTGGGGTTCAGCTCTTTGCAGAGAGGAGTTGGGGTCCTGCAAAGAGCATTGCTGAAGGTGGTGGTTCCTGGAGGGGTGATAGGGAAGGCAGCTGAAGGGCTTGCCTCCTGGCTGCTCCCCAAGCTGGGGATGGCAGCGTGCCTCATGTTCCATACTGGGTTGATCTTACCGCAGGTAATGCAGGCATTTCTTTGAAAGCACAGCTGTGTACGTGTATACCTCTGCCTGCACATACACACCAGCACCCATGCAGATGTGAACATGATCACAGGCAGTCATTTGCGCTGGGGTTGACCTGGCAGCTGTAGGGCACAGCGATGTTCTATGGCTGGCGGCGCCCCTGTGGTGCTGCACTGAGGCCACTCTGTGCCCCCTTGTCCCAAACTTTCCATCCTGGGCAGGGAGGTGAGGATGGGTGCTGGCCTCCTTCATCTTAAAGTATCCAGAGGGGCTTCCCAGAGACACAGGGACTTTGTGTAGCAGCCCAGGGATGTGGCCAGCACTCATTCTGTTAAAGGTTTGTGTGTGGTTCAGGGAGGCTGTGCCTGATAAGGGAATACAAGTGCTGATAACAGCCAGCAAGTGCCACCAAAACACAGAGCTGCTTCAGAGCCCATCTCCTCTCCTCCAGTCCAGGGTGCAGCTCCCAATGGACATCTACTGGGTGCTGTGTGAGCACAGTGTGAGGCATGCCTGGGGTGTGAGCCTAAAGGTGTAACCTGGCTGCAGGGTGCTGGTGGTTGTGATCCTCACTATAGACATTGTGGGCATCAGCCTTGCTGTCCTCTTCACCCACCCACCATGGAGGGGGGGCTGGAGGTGATGCAGGGGATACCAGCAGCGAGATGAAGTAATGTTTCATTAATCAGATGCAGCATCTCTTTGCTAGGAGCTTGTTCACAGTCAGACTGTGATTTTGATGTACAAATGTGATGCCCCCTGCACTGTCTGTCATGAGCTGGCAAGCAAATGAATGCACAAAGCAAACCTGGGGCTTGACAAGTCTCTGTAGGTCAGGTCACCTGGGGGCCTTAGGAGGAGGTTTCACCTCTCCAAGACATCATGTCAATGCCGCATCCATGCCAAGGCATTCCTCATCCTGGTGACAAAAGGCTTTGTCCACTCTGCTTCATGTAACTCTCTGACTGAACTCGCTGCTCTAGGGCACTTGAAAATAAGTTGTTTTTTTCACACTGATGCCAGTCTGCTAAAAAAACCCTTTCTGCTGTGCTCATGGTGAGACTCAGATGGGTGCAAGTCCTGCCCAGGTCCAGTGCTAATGTGGCAACATCCCATAGCGGCTGATGGTGTGACTTTGAGCCACTGCTGCGGCAGAGCTGGTCAGAGGGAGCTGACCCTTGAATGCAGAGCTGGGGAGCCAGGGGGGTGGTGTAGGGGCAGCCTGGCCACTAGGAACAGGCTTATACAGACACAGCCCCTGCTGCTGCCATTGCCGTGGCCTGGTGCGATGGTGTCAATGGTGCTCTGGCTGTGTTTCAGGTTGGTGACCAGATGAAGCTGCTGCAGAACTGCTGGAGCGAGCTGCTCGTCTTCGACCATGTCTTCCGGCAGCTGCAGCACGGCAAGGAGCACAGCCTGCTGCTGGTCACCGGGCAGGAGGTGAGCGGCGGCTCGCAGAGACCGCAGCGGCTGTTGCGGCAGGGATGGCAGGGGATGAGCGGTGGGGCTGGATAGGGGTGCAGGGTGACTTTTGTCTTACTTCTGGCCGAGTCTGGCCAACCTGGCATGGGGCAGACCCCATCCCATCATATCGCATCATATCCCGTCCCATCATATCCCATCCCATTCCATCCCATTCTGTCCCATCCTGCCATCCGGCTCCTGGTTCTGGAGAAAACTGTTTCTTGTGGACAGATTAACAGTGACACCCACACTTGCAGAGGCAGGATGTGGGAAGGGGCTCCTTCCTTCCCTGGGGCAGCTTTTGGAGTTGTGGGTGCCTGCGATGCCAGCACCAAAGCAGCGCTGGAGAAATGGGGTTCCTGTTGTGCCCATCAGCCTCATGCCTCTCATGGGATGGTGCCCAACTCCGACTCTGCATGGCTGACCATCCCTGTCCCCACAGGTGGATGTGTCGACCATCACAACCCAGGCCGGCTCTGTCCTGAGCACGCTGATGCTGCGGACACAGGACCTCATCCTGCACTTGCACTCGCTCCAAGTGGACCGGCAGGAGTACGTCTGCCTCAAGTTCCTCATCCTCTTCAGCCTCGGTGAGTGCTGCTGCAAGGGCACCGGGGCGAGGGGTGGCTGCACTCAGAGGCCATGGCCGTGCTGCTGAGGGGGTTTTGAGGGGTGGGAGTAAAGCCAGGGGGAGCACACACAGCCCAGGGTCTGGCCATGCCAGTGGCTGCAGGGATGGGTGATGAAGGGGCTTTTAATGAGGAAGCAGGAGCAAGGGCTGGGACCTGCCAGCTCCCTCACCTCACCGTGGGGTCCAAAACATCCCTGCTGCTGCTCTGCCTCCATCCATGGGGGATGTTGCTGCCCCGTTGGCTGAGCAGAGCCTGTTTTGGTCACTCGCCCGTCGCAGCGGGCAGGGAAACAAGGGGCTGATAGGGCTGCAGCAAAACAGGTGTGTTGACAGAGGCAGCAGCCCTATCTCCCTGGATTTGCGTCACTGGATCCGTGCCGCCGCGCTGGGCAGGGGCTGCCTGCGCTCCTGATTAGGCTCATCCCGGAGCCTGCGGTCTGGCTGAGGTTCACAAGGTGCCGCCTCACCTAGACAAAACACACAGGAACTGCTGCTCCCTCAACATCCCTGGGGATGCACCGCGGCTCTGCCCCGCTCCCACCCTGCACTTCCCCATGCACCATAGTCAGGGATGCAGCTCCTTGCCCTGCAGACATCACCCCAAGGCAGGAATGCCCATCAGCATCCCACCGGAGCAATCTCAGCCCTCGGTGAGGCTGTGTGGCTGTGGGTGGTGCTGAGCGCACGGGGACCCCAGGCTGCCGGCTGCCTTCGTTACCGGTGTTGACACGTTCCCCTCAGCCCCATCCTGGTGAGAGGTCTGACCTCCCCGCACAAGGATGGTGGTGTGGCCTCTGAGGAGCTCATCTGGCTGCCGTGCTCCTGCCTCACACTTCTGCACTGCAGCTACTTCACTTCCTATACTTGCTGCTAACTGAATGCACCTGGACAGGGCAGGCATTTCCCTAGGGAAACCTGTACTTGGGTCCCTGCAGCAGCTGGATGTTAGTGCTGAGCTGGGTCCATCAACCCAGCTTGGGGTAATCCTGTTGCCATCCTCATCTCAACCCATTCCCGCCCCTCTCCCAGTGCCTCAGTCTGTGCTTGCACTTCTGCATCTGTGGGGTCCCATCTTTGGGGGGGGACGGGGGGCACGACTTTTGCCAGTGCCTGTGTGTTTCATTGCCAAGTGCAGCAGGCCACAAGCTGCACTCTGTGCTGGATGGACACTGCTGGGAGAGTTTGCATTTCTGTATGTCAGCATCGCTGAGGAGCCAGCCTGCTCCAGGAGCAGCACTGCCACTGTGTTACTGGGTTAGGGAGCAGTGGGAATGGGAATCCACTCCCCCGTCGCTGGGGCCCTGTCAGGTCTGGATGATCCTTTAGTTTGACTCGGTTTTGCTGCGGACATGGAGCTGTGCTGCCTCCGTCCTGCACCTGCAGCATCTCCTCCCGCAGCTTTCTCTTCCTCTAGGGCTGTTTTGAAATCCAGAGACATTAGATGCGATAATTTGCTGTTCAAACAGTGATAAGGTGGGGCACAAACAGTTCCTAGGCTGGGAAATAAAGGAGCCAGTGGGGCTCAGCACTGCAAGGGCCAGTCCCTTTGCTGCTCGCAAACACAGCGCAGCATGGCACAGCACAGCAAGCAGAAGCAGCATCCTCCCAAACACGGGCTGCCGCGCCGATCGCTTCCCTGGAGCAGTGGCTTTCGGGGGGGGGGGATTTTCCCATACATCATTTTGCCCCAAATGCAACTTTTTCTCTCCATATTGCAGAGCTCACTTGGAGTAATTTGCCCTTCGCAGGCTCAGCTGTAGAGGATGGGATTGTGTATTATGTGCAGGATGTAATTGCCTTTAACAAGAGAATTTCCACATTTACCACTCTGCCACAGCACAGTCAAAGCCAAGCCCCACTCACAAGAGCTGCCATTTGAGTTCTAAATAGATTTCTCTCCTGAGCAGGTAAAGAGATTTAATTAAAATTAGGGCTTCTCAAAATAGCAATATTTATGAGGATGGCACAGGTTAGCTTTGTTCTACAGAAGGGCTTAATAGAGCCTTAATGGATTGACCTATCATTCGATTTCATGACTTACATTCATGAAGCAGCTACTCTTGGGGAGGGGAGGAAGAGAGGCTTTTATAGCCCACATTCCCTTAAGCGTTTGCAATTTATCAGCAGCTTCTCCCAAACAAAAGGAGCTGTGAATAGGAAGAACACTTGAGGGCATAGAAATAATCCCAGGCATATCTGTATGTGTGATGGGAGGCTTTGTCACAGGACAGTCTTTGCAACTGCTGCAGTGTCTCTAAATGAAGTGAGTCAATGTTATTTGGACAACATTCTTTATTCCTTGCAGGAATGAAAAGATTATTCAAATATTCAATTAAACAGTGAATAGGGTCTTTCAGAGAACCAGGTGAGTTCATCCAGTAGAACTAGCTATTGTTGAGCCAACTCAGGGGATAGATTCGACATTTATCAATATAACTTCTTTTTTTTTTTTTTTTTTTTAATGTCATGCACAATAACCTTATGCAGATAAAGAGATTTCATAACAACAGCCCGGGTAGAAGGGAGACAATAGGAGCAAATGTGCCACAGGACTGAAAGGGAAGGGTGATCTGATAAAGTGCATCTTGGGTTGACCTGCAGCGCTTTGTGCCCGTGCCGTGCAGCACCCAGCCCGCAGGGCAGCCCGGCTGTGGGCATGGCCAGAGGCTGTGTACCCCCAGAGCCCCCCAGCTGCACCTCTGCTCCCTGGCCTCTGCCTGAGCATCAGCCAGAGGCTCCTGGCTTCACAGGGCTGGAACAGTGTTAGGTGCCGTGGCCAACACAAAGGGGTTCTCAGTCAATGTGGGGAAGCCACAGACACCTCCACCCATGGGTACGGGGGTCACATGTGCTCCCTCCTGCTCAGGCATCTCCATCACCAACACTGCAGGTTGCCCTCCCAAAAGCTGCTCAGCCCTCTGGGTACAGCCATGCTCAGTTCCCTGCTTTTGGGGGATGAAAACCAGAAATAAACTGCAAGCTCCCTATCCCCTTGGGCAGAACCATGTCCAGATTTCCCTGTTCCCAGCCTGCCGATGTAGACCTGAGTTTTGCATCAGTGGCTGCTGGGCATGGGCAGCAGAGTTGGCAGCCCCATTACCAAGCACAGTGCTGCTGGGCAGCTCCGTATAGTAAATCTATTACATCTGTTTGCCCCAGATGAGCTCGGTGGTGGCGTTTGCAGCGAGCTCTCCTGTGGGTGGGCACAAGGTGTCATTGCTCTGTGTGGCTGTAGCTGGCTGATGGGCCAATGCACAGCGCTGTTTCCCTACAGCCACTGAAATTTGTGTGCTGGGCTGGTTTATCATGTTGTGCAGATTAAAAATCAGGGCTTCCTTCATGGCCACTGCAGCACTGAGGCAGCATCCATGGAGAGCAGACCCCAGCTCAGGTTGCCCCAAAAGCTCAGAGGAGCCCCAACCCACCAGCCTGGGTTGTCCCTGCAGTCACCCTCTGCTGTGGCTGCCAATTGGAGAGCAGTTACAGACCAGTGGTCCCCAGGGACAATCTGCTGCCATTGGGCTGTGGTGGCCTCTTGGCTGCCAGACCCTGCCTGTGCCTTGGTGCTGCTGCCTGATGCGCCGCTTCCCACCCTGCAGCAACAGAGATGGCAGCGAGATCAGGGGGGATCTGCTCTGACCCTGGCAGAGGATTAGGGTTTCCAGGCTAGTGAGCGTGGTTGCCACATCAGAAAGCCCAAGTTTATTGGGGACTTCAGCCACTTCATTGACCTTCAGGACCTAAAGGGGGCTGATGGCTACAGCTCCCTGTGCGTGGTACAGCTGGTAACATGTTTTGGCTTTGCAGCCTCCTAGGCGGTGAGGGAGGGGGACACCGGCCTTCCTGCTGCCAGGGGCATTGGGCATCCATCTTCAACGTCAGGGGAAATGCAGGAAGAAGGGAATGGATGGCGAGCCTATGGCCAGGCAGAGACGGGGCACGGGACCTCTCTTGCACTGTGTTTTTGTGCACGAGGGGTATTGACACAGGAGTGTAGGTCCTTCCTGGTACACCCAGCACACTGGCTGGGGCAGACATGGATTTGGCACCTCTTCACTATCATTCTCCTCCCTTGCAGATGTGAAGTACCTGGAGAACCACATGCTGGCTAAGGATGCTCAGGAGAAGGCCAACGCGGCGCTGCTGGAGTACACCCTGTGCCACTATCCCCACGCCACAGACAAGTTCCGCCAGCTGCTGCTGCGGCTCTCCGAGGTCCGGGCGCTGAGCATGCAGGCAGAGGAGTACCTGTACCACAAGCACCTCGGCGGGGAGGTGCCCTGCAACAACCTCCTCATCGAGATGCTGCACGCCAAGAGGACTTGAGTGCAGTTGCCAGCACAGACCCGGCAGAGCCCCGGTGCTGCCAGCAGCATGGCCAGGGCAGGACTCATGCCCGGGGCTGACAGGCAGGTGCAGCCTCTCCACCCCGCCTTCTCAGTGATGCTGTTTAACCCGTGCTATTGGAAAAGTCCCAGATGGTTTATTTTAATACACAGCAAGGACAGTTGATGGCTCTGGGGCCGCGGGCTCAGCTGCCGGACTGTGCCATTGGCAGCGCTGCTGCCTGGCTCCTCTGCACACGCGTTGCCTGACCTGTTGCCTACCCAACCCATCTCTGTAGTGCAATGGAAGGGTAAAGCCTGTTCTGGCTTTTCTCCTTTTTATGCTCCTCTCCTGCTGTTCCTCCACTGCTGCCATCCCTCCCTTAACCCTGCCCCATGTCTCAGGGCCCCTCGTGCACAGGGCAGGGGAGAGGTGAGGTGAACTTCCCCCCAGGTTGTGGTTTTGCAGTGGTTGGGGTGTCCCCAGGCACTGCCATAGAGGCAGAGGATTTCTGCAGGAGCAAAGCAGAATGCCGAGGCTGGGGCTGGAGATAGCCCCACGCAGCCATACCAGCACCCCAAGGTGCACATGCTGAGGTCCCTGGTCCTCACTCCCCACAGTGCTGATGCCTGCTCTGCATCCAGCCACTGTCCTGGCTGAGCAAAGGCAGGCAGGGACAGGCAGTGCTGAGTCCTTGGCTGAGATTTGTTTTCTCAATGCTTGCTGGTGCCGGATGCAGCAGCCGTGGCTTTGCAGCCCATGGCAGCAGCAGAGCCCACATGTGTCCATGGTCAGCACATCTCTGGGATGTCACAGCTTTGCAGCAGAGGCTCTAAGAGATTTGGTACTGGGAGCAGGGGACCGTCCTCAGTAGTCTTTGGGCCCATGGCCCTGCTGCTGTGCCCTTGGTGCCAGCACAGTGACCACAGAGCAGGAACGCTTTGCAGGTCACAGTGTCCAGGCAGCAGCAGCACTGTGAACTGAGCTGGTTCCCAAAGCATGAGGATGAAGTAGCCTTGGGACGGTGTCCCAAGACAGACCCTGTCCCCTTCCTGTCCACAGATGCTGTCAGAGCAGCCGGGCAGGAGGGAGGTGCAGCGTCCAGCAGCACATCCAGGCTGCAAACAGACCAGAGCTGCCCTACACCAGCATGTGCAGCCCCTCCTGCCCCAGTGTGTGGGTAAGGAGTCGTAACAATTGTCCTGTGCTTTGTGCTAGGCAGGGTTGAGCCCCAAGACTCCCCGTGTCCCCAGGTGACAGCAAAAGCTGTACCAAAGCCACAGGCAAAGAGCTATTGGTTCCTCTCCCATCGTGGGACAGGGGCTCACAGACATGACTGGCTGCAGCCCCCCGAGCTGGGACGTGCCAGATCTCACTGCTGCTTGCTCCTGGCCTCAGCCGTGCTCTCCTCCCCTCCCACCCCACTCCAGGCAGACCATCACGGTCCCCTCAGCCGGGTTCCCCCTGCGTGGCTGGGGTTGGTTGAGGTTTGCCTTCCACAGTGGGTATCTGCTCCTCGTTTCAAGAGGGCTGTCATCCGCAGTGGCTCTGCGCAGAGCCGGTGCCTTGAGGAGCTGCAGACGCTGTGCCAGGAGCTGTGCGGTTTGTGGAAGCTTGTTAGATGCAGAAGAGCATGTTTGTCTCTGCTTTTCAACATGTTTGTGCATTTTCCTCCTGAAGTCTGTGGTTCGGTTTCACCTTCTTCTTTTTGTGAACTTAAAAAGAACTGGAGAAAATGGTTCGGGAGGTAAAAGATGTTTTATTTTCAGAAAATGAAGTGTCCTTAAGTGTCTCTCTCTCTCTCTCTCTGTCTCTCACATCCTTTCCTCCCTCTCATCCCTCCCCTTCCCCACTCCCCACCCTTCCTGTCCAGGCAGGAGGTTAACAACTTCCTTGTCAGGAGCAAACCACTATAATAAATTTTGCAGTTCATTTAAAAAGGCAGATTTGGTTTTTTTTGCCTGTTTTTCTAACCCTCCTTGTCAGTGCCACCCTCCCCTCCTGGCTCCCCCAGGGACAGGCAGGATGTCCTGCCTGGCATCCCTGCAGCAGAGCAGTGCTTGTCTCCAGCACGCAGTGGTGCCCATGGGTCTCTCCTGGGGTGCTGCCTGCCTTTAGAGAGACCAGAACCCTACTGCTGCTGTGATGTGATTCAAGGCATTGGTGACTCAAGATCTGGTTCAAAGTGCTGCTGGAATTGCCATAGCGACTCTGAGTGTGTTTTGCAAGTGAGCTCATGAACAACAACGTGTATGGGCAATTAGTTTAGGCTTCGAACTTGCCATATAGCCCTTGGTGGTCAGTGTGGCTGAGCGCCCCCAGTGTGCCATGCACTGTGGCAGGGAGCAAACCCACAGCTAAGCACAACAATAGCTTTGATGACCTAGGTGTAAAATTGCAAGTATGGGGAAGTGCCCCTCGCCCTGGCTCTCCCCCACCCCAGAGGCTGGAGGTTCTGCTTGGCTGGCTCTGATAACCACAGTGATGGTCTGCACTCACATCTCACTCTCCTGAGCAGCACAGGCCTGCTGGAGGGTTACAGTTCCCAACAGCACATGAACACACGTGAGCCAGCACATGCCATGCTGAGACCAGGGAATGCAGTGCAACACAGGAGACAGCATGTGGGAGCATGCAGTGCCCTGATCCCCTGCCCTCCACTGTGTTCAGCTGTGTAAAGGCACCATGGATACACTGCAACAAGGAGAGAAGGCTGCCATTAAAATCAGCATTTACTGTCATCATAATCAGCAAAAACCCCAACATGTTTTATGTGCTCTAAACACTAGTTGGATGCTAAGAACAGAGGGAGAGAAAACAACCCCAGCTAGAGAGGGGCCACGCCAGCTGGGTGGGAGCCCCAGGAAGAACAGGGAGAGGGTTTTTGTCCTAAACAGCAGAAGTCAGCCAGTTTGGAAAAGGCTTGAAGCCAATTGCTGTCTTCCTTAGTGCATGTGTTTCTTACATAGCTTGTGCCCAACCCTTCCGCAGCAGAGCAGTGTGATGGGCTGGCAGCAGGGCCAGAGAAGACAGCGGTCCTCACTGGCATGGAAGCATGGGCATGGCTGCCACATGCATCCTTGGGCAGTAGATAAAGCCCCATGAGACTCCAGCTGCCCTAATCCTGCCCTGGTTTTGTCCACACATGCTGCTAGGAAGAAGAGCAGGGCTAACAGCTCTTCCTGGGCTGGGCCAGCCCTCCGCATGGAAGCCATATCCTCCGACCTGCCGTCCTCCTGGCTGCTGGAAGAGCCTCGGTGTGCTGGGCACATCACTTAGAAACTTCTCAGAAACCTAAGGCAAAAGAGAGATGGTCTCAGCTGTGTTGGCAGGGAGGGGAGGGCAGGGGTCCTTCCCTTTCCCAAAGGACTCCTGTGGAAAAGCACAGCCTAAACCTGTCATGGGGTGGAGTGGTGGGTGGAGGCAGCCACAGGTCTGGCACTGGTGGCTCCGCCATCCCATGGACCCCTCTGCCCATTTAGGGGTCTCTGAAATATGGCCCTTACATCAGGGAGCCGAACCAGCCTCTGTGCACAGGGCTGTGGCTGTAAGGAGAAACCTCTTGTTTCCCTGCTCAGTAAGTAGCCCACTGTGCACAGCTGCAAGCTCTGAGAATGCTGGAGAATGAGGTTTAAATGGGATTTAATGAAAATACCAGTGCTATCATGGAAGAGAGCACTGATGCCCTCCTTCTACCAGGGCATAAGGTACCTTCTGCCCGCTGGGAAGGACCATGGCATGGATGGCAGCAGCCATCCCACTGCAGCACAGCCTGGTGGGGTAGGCATGGGGGGTCTGCATTTCTCTAAGTGCCCACAACACTCAGGTGCTTTACTGGCTTTGAATCCCAAAGACTCATAATTTCCCTATTATTTTAAACCCAATCTTATTTAACCTGGTATGGCAAGAGTTGCAGAATTACTCGATATTGATCAGAGAATGGGTGGGCCATGGAGACAAGATCCATGTTGCTATGTGTGGCTTAGCAACATATAAATGTATTCAAACAGAATAATGAAATTATCGTGGGGAAACAAAGCAGCCATCACTTGAAGAGATGGAGGATGTGGAGGCCTCTTGGAGCTCTTGTTTGCCAAGACAAGGAAGACAGTACTTATTGTTTGTGCAAATATGTGAACCCCCCTGGCCATCCCCTGCTTACATAAAGGGTGTAATGAATCCGGGCAGTGGCTAGCTGCAGTGTGCAGCTTTGTACAGCTGGGCTGGAGCTCATTACTGCTGAAACGTGTGGCCTCTCTGAGTGAATTGAGTCCTTGCGGGGGGAGCCCTAACACTGGGGGTGGGGAGGTGGGGAGGGAGCCTGTGCCTGCCTCCAGGCCACAGCCACCCTGCCAAACTCCTCGTTTCTGTGGGTCTGAAACCGGCCCTGTATTTACCTGGATTTTATTTGCCTTCATCCTCACACGTGCTAACACACCAGTGGGAGCTCACCCACCTCCCTCCAGGGAATCACCGCTGCCTCTTGCACTTGGAGCCAGCAGGATGCCCATGGCTTTCACAAGAGCACGGCTGAGGTGGATCCCATCCCAGATCCAGCACAGCTTTCCTGCGAGACTGTGAGCCAGTCATCTAAGCCCTGAACCTACCACCAGTGGCCAAGGTCCAGCACTCCCACTGCCCACCAGTTCTCCCTGCTGGACAGCAGGGCAGGGCTTCTCCTGGGTCTTTGCATGAGCTCCTGCTGCTGGTACATCACAATACTCATTAAAGCTGGCTGGAAATTTTCAGATTAAGATACCGGGGGAAAAATATGTCTCTTTTATGACATTATTTGGGAGAAAACAAATAGGAGAAGAGAAGCAGTGTCTGTGTTGCAATGATTTGTCTCTTGCTCACCATCAAGCACACAGGTTTATGGTTTGCTTCCCCTGGCAGCTGTTATCCCCAAGAGCTACACAGCACTTGGCTCTGTTGAGCAAGCTGTGAAGATGGGAGCCCGTGCAACACTGAGCTGCCCTGGGGTCTTCCAGGCATTACTACAGCTGGGCATTACTGCCTTTCATTATTTCTTTTAATGGCTGGAAGCACTTGTCTTTGAGCCCAGCGCCTTGGAGCAGCACAGCACAGCAAGCACCAGCGCTGTGCCGCACGCCAGCTTGCACATACACAAGTGTGCAGAGGAGTGCTCTTCTGGTTCAAGATCTTCTCGTTCACCCCAGGCTGAAGGACTGCCCAACCAAGGGCTCCCTTGCCCTGGGGCGTGCGAGGAGCTGCTCTCAGTGCGTGCAGAGAGGGTGGCTGTACACAGCACTGCCCTGCACCTCTGCCTGCTTATGGCCCTTGTGCATCAGTCGGTGTGTGAGGAGCCAGGCACCGAGCCCAGCCCAGCTTCCCAACCATCCTCTGGGCAAAACTAGGTTTAAAAGCAACCTGAGGTCTTACCTGAGAAAACAAAACCAAACTAAACAACCCACCTCTTTGCACAGCTGGAGTTTAATTACAGATGTGGCTAGAAGAAAATACGCAGGAGCAGGTGAGAGTGTGGGGGTACAGAGCACAAACGCATGTGCTGGGTGTAGGTCTTGCTGTCTCTGAGACCCCGCTCCTATGCCTGAAATGCCGCAGCACATTTAGTCCTGGATGCCACCGTTTCTGCCTTGCTCATGTGTCCACTGCAGGGAGGAAAGCTGCAATGCTTCAGGGTGGCATCGTCTCGAAAATAGTCTAAGCATGCCCTGCTTAGACACTTAATGTGGAGCAAAATCAGAAACCTGCTAATGCACTGCCTTTGAGAAAAGAGAATGTAACAATGCAGGAAAAAATACTATCAATCCATCCCCAGTGCTCCTTCCCTGCACTGTTTGCTTGAGTGATCCCATCCAGAGACTGCTCTCAGACTGTTGGAAGTGCTCAGCCATGGTTGGTAAAAACATATAAAGCTAAAAGTGCTACAACCATGACCTGGAGGGACTGGTGACTTGCCCAAAGCCAGGCAGGTAAGAGGGAGCTGAGGTTTGCCAGCCTCTCTCTCCCCAGCACTCAGGTCTGGAGCTTAGAAGGGATTTCTGATTTTAATTCTACCCACCTCCATGGTGACATTGGCCTTTCTACAACCTGAAACAGAAGAAGCTGAATGGCTGCTTTTAAGCTCATAAATCCAACCCTGTCTGAACACCCCACCTTCCCTGGCACTTCTAACACCCACCAGCTCTTTCTGCAGCAGCTGTTGGGCTAAAATACCCTGTAGCAGCAAAGAGCTGTTGCCACCCTTGAAAGCAGCTCAGGTCTTTCTGGGGAGAACCCAGACAAGTGACCTGAGATAGGCACCCTCTGTTGAGCCAGTGGTGCTGGGGCTTCCATACCCCTCCTCTTCCTCATCTCTTCAGGGGGACACAGATCTCCCAATGGCTTGGCCAGGACTGCACCCACCAAGTCAGTTTGGAAATAAAAGCAACCACAGAAACCACAGCTCACAAAAATGAGAGAAAATGATGTAGGCAAATGTTACCTGAGGATTTGAACGCTGTCAGCTCTACAGCCTGAAAGAGGGGAGAACTTCTGTTAGCAGAAAGTACAAATCTGATTGCTTGGCTGCTGGTAACCTCCCATCACACTCCCAGGGTCAGACAGGGCTCCCACATCACCCAGCTTCTGCATCACAAACTCCCTGCCACTGAGCCACTGCACAAGCTGGGAATGGAGCCTTCATCCCAGTCCCAAGGGGCAAGCACGGTGCAGAGTGTCCCTGGACACAGCTGGAGACCACTGGAAAATCCAGGAAAAGAGAACTTTCTCCCCCCATTCTGCGGTGGAAAGAGAGCACACAAGGCTGCACCATGCTAACCATCATTAACGGTTAAGTGAGGTGTGAAATTCCTGCTGCCAGCCCAACAGCAATAAATATCACCAAACAACATTTAAAAACCTGGAACACAAGAACATCTTGTCTGTGTTTGTATCTTCACTCGCTCTGTGTTTTGTCATTTTAAGTGTTTTCAAACGTTTTTAAGTAGCATCTTCTCTTCATCCAAACTATTGTGCAGCTGCCAGTGACATTCTTAATTCACTGCTTCTCCAGCAAGTGCCATGACTCATTTAGCCAGGGAGCAGGAAAAACAGCACTGACTTAAATAAGGAACAGCACAGAAAGCAGCACCTATCTGGGGGAGGGTAGCACCATCCAGGGCCTTTTGCTGCATCCACATGAGTTAGAAAGAAAACAAGTACATTAAAAATGCAATGCCTAAGCAGCAAAGATACAGCAAATACCTTGGTGACCCTCACATGGGGGAAAGTGCTTTCTATCTTTACCTGCTAGAAAATGCCAAGGCCTCGGCATTTAGGAGATCTGCTGCCTCCTAATGCTCTCTGCCTTAGGAAACTCGGCTAATCCCTTTGGCCCACGTCTCCTATCTGGTGCCAGGAGCTCACCCTGCTCCCAGTTTACACAGCCACCACCTGGCTGGCTGAGAAAAGCATCACCTATGAATGAATCGTGGTTGGTGTTCAGCACCAGGGTGGAACAGCAAAACCACAATATAAATCAAGAGAGATTAAAATATGGATTTTATTGAGTGGCTTCAAAACGATATGCCAGCTATAGAAGTATTATCTACTGGATAAATAAGAGCTGTCTATGTGACACAGGCTTTCAAAGGATAAATATTAGAGAGGGAGAGAGATCCTTCAGTGAGAGACTCATATGAAAGTAGTGTTGGATATTATTCCGAGGAAATTACAGCACTTGTATGTCAAGTGCACAGGGACTGATGATCATTTTAATAGTGGGAGATGGAAGTGGTATCACAGTAGTCAAATCTAATTTGTTCCCTGCTTTAGGCCATACCTCCCTGAGCTCTACATCACTCTGCTGCAAGCAGCACAACCCAGCCTGCCGCCCCTGGACAGACGTGACTTGCCCACTGCAGGGACAGCAAGACCCTGCTGCCCAGTTTTAATTTGTTACCCCTGGGGGAAGTCTCCTGCCTTGATCTGTACCAGCCCCTGCTTGGTGCTTTACTGGCTCAAATTCATTGTCTCCTTCTGTTCGCCTGTGTCCCTGCTACAATCACCCTCCTGGTGTGGCAGCAGAGCTGGCTTCCCATCACCTCAGGGGTGAGGTCTTGCCTTGGAAATTGGCTGTTCTGGGGCCTCCTCCTCTTCTGCTTCCTACAAAACACATTCTCTCCCCTGTTGCCTGCCCCTGCCCCAGCTCATGTAATTGCCTCTGGCACCATCACAGCACAGCCAAGGCAAGTCACTGGCCAGGAGCTCCTGCCCACCAGCCCACCTTGCTCTCCATCTTACTCTCCTACAGAGATGGCGAACACTCAGTTGGCTTGACTATCAGGAGCGGCCACTATGGGCATGAAACACACACCTCAAATGCTTTAAGTGACTTAAATCAATATGCTACTAATTAAATCAATATGCTGTATTTTAATCAGAGGCTCCAGGATGAGCATCAAAACCTTTGCTTTGATCGGCAAGGCTGGCACTGAAGGAGAGCATGGATGCTGTGCTAACACCCTGCCTGGTCCCTCACCAGCACTCAGCAACTTCTCTACTGCCCTGGGACAGGAGGGGTCATTATTCACACAGGGTGGGTGGCTCATACAGCTTCTGGGACTTATTCAACATAAACCACTGGATTTGTGCCAGAACTGGTATCACTACTGGGTGTCCTGAGTCCCAGCTCCTCACTGGAACCACCAGGCACCCCTCCTATGTAACCACTATGCTCTGTGCCTGGGTGAAGGTGGAAGAATAACAGAAGACGTTACATACCGGTCTCTCAGGTGACATAATTGATGAAATCCCCATGGGAATTTTGGCTCCAAAATTTCCTAGGGGGTGAAGCAGCACAATGAATTCTTTACCAAGAACTCCATGCTCTGTGTCCCCTATGTATCTCCCACTGAAGCAAAGGGTTGAACATGTTAACTGCATAATTGTACCCACAAACTGGTTGGAGCATGCAGCACCTTTTTGCACCCTGAAGCCAAACCCTCTATTTCCTAGGGTCACTTTTGCCTCCCCTTCTGCAGAAAATTCATTTTGAGACACTAACATGGACATGCACTAAAATTCAAGCCTTGGGAATAACATTTTACTGTGGTCTCCTCACACAGCCTGGGCCAACAGCAATGGCAACTCCCTTTACCTTTGTTGGTGATGTTCTTCACTGGAGCGTCTTTCTGCACAGGGCTCGACAAGGTGCTCTCAGCTACAGAAGGTTTCCCTGTCTCCCAGGAGGTCGTGTTTCTTGGACTTGATAAGTAGTTGATGGGATGAGAGCAGTTCTGTAATGACAGGGGAGAGAAACAGAACAATGAAAATTGCAAAATGGGTCTGCTAGATCCAGATCCAATTGTAAAGACTGATTTCATCTGCACTGTGGCCCCTGGGACTTTTGACTCCCACCCCCTCTGGTAGCTGCCTAGTGAGGGTAGATCATCTCTGGATCTGCATTGTCCAACAGGACTGCAAAGAAGTGAGACAAAAAAAAAACCATAAGACTTCTTTCCAACATCACCTCCTCAAAGCAGACCAAATGTATGTCTAGGGCTCTCCTCTGGTGGGTGCCTGATGGAGGAAGTGGGTAGCAGGGCTGCCTTGCAACTTACTGTGAATGAGAGTGCTTTCTTCTTGTCCTTCATCCTCTGGATGGCATTTCTCACCTGGAGCAGAGCAAGGACGTTAGAGAGGGCCACAGCAGCTCTAGCAGAGCAAGAGATCCTCCAGCAAGTCATGGAGAAAAAGCAACCACTGTTCCAGAAGCACAGCCGGGGCTATGCTGCCTGTTACAACTACCCCCTTGACTGCTAATAAACAGTTGCTGTGATGAGTGACTGAGCCCCAGGTAGGCACATCTCTTACCTCACTGTTATAGACTGCATAGACCAGGAATATGTACAGGCCCTGCAAAGGAGAGAGCACAGGAAGGTTAGAGGTGTATGGCTGGTTTGTGCTGCTTCATATGGGAGGAAATCAGTTTGATGAGCGCTAGAATGGTTAAAGACTGGGCTAAGGGGAAGAGGCACAGAGAATGGGCACAGCACAGCGAGGGACAGGTAGGCAGGAAGGACCTTCCTTATAATCACACTTGAAACCAGGCTCTTCACAGGGAGTTCAATAGAGATGGTCCCTGCCCCAGCCCCTCTTCCTTCTCCTTTTCTCCCTTCAGATCTCAGAAGCAGAAACCACCAGGAATTAATTGCTGGGGAAACTGAAACCTGTTAAGCAAACCTCCCTTCCCACCAAGCACCGACCCCAGCGGGGCTTTTGCCAGCCTCCCACAGATTAAGAGCAGCATGATGCTGGGGACAGCTCCTCTGTCGCCTGCAGTGACCGACCACAGCGCCAAGAGGACCCTGTGACCCAGGTTCCATGGGGTATGGACCCAGAGGCTCCGCTCAGCCCCAGCCTGAACAATCCTTCCCTCCAGCATGGTCTCAGCCATCCTCTCCCTGCTTGCTGAACTGGTGCTGTTGGTGGCTCAGCACAGGGACCAGCGAGCAGTGATGTGCTCATCCACAACCAAACGCTTGGTCCCACGTGCCCAGCTCCGGTGTGGGATGTGCTCAGGGAGAGTGCTCATGGCAGGGCCAGAGCGAGCATCGCCCGGAGGCCACAGCCTGGGGCTAATTACAACTCCAGACCAATGATTTTGGCCTTAAGGCAGCCCTATCGGGCCCACCAGATTTATGTTGTATCTGTGGGGTGTTTTGTTATCGCAGATAGATAAATCAGCTGCAGCAAGAGAAGCAATCCATCTTGTCCTCAGCGAGCCTCGCTCTTCATCTGCGGGCTCTTGGCAGGCACAGTGGTAGCAGTACCCTGGCACGGCGCCATGACCTGTCCTTCAGCCAGCACTGCTGGGCACTCCCCCAGACCAGAGCTCTGCTCAGGCTGCCAAGGCAGGTCTCCCTTGACATAATCCCTCTGGATGAGCGCGGGGAGGGAGGGAGCAGGGCAGGGAACAGAGGAGGCCCGGCTGCGGCGGAGGGCGGAAGTGGAGCTGCGGCTCAGGAGGAGGCCGCTCTCCCCACACGCCATCTTGTGCCGGAGCGGCCTGCAAGGCTCCGGACACCACAGCTCCTCGCTCATGGCGGGGCAGGCACTGCGTGGCCACAGGTGAGACCAGAGTGTGTGCCGAGACCCACAGAGCAGGATGGGTGCTCCTGCCTGGTGTCTGTCCGTCCAGCAACCAGGTCCTGCTGCACTCTGCACACCCCATCCATCTCCATGCTGCGTGGGTGCAACACCGTCTCCTTCCCCTCTCACCAGAGACAGGCAAGTGGCCCTGAGCTCCCCTCAGGACCGTCCTTTCAGCTCTACAAGTTCAGTTCAAGCTGACAGGTTTTACTATGCTGTTGCTCAACAGCGTTAGGTGCTGCCAGGGTGTTGGTGCTGCTGCCTCTGAAACCATGGGCTGGAGGGAAGATGCTGCCTCCTGCTCGCCAACCTGTGGGACAGCCATGGCAGCCACCTCCAGTGCAGCACCGCTCCCCTGCTGCTTTGCAGTCACCCGGCTCAATTCCTGTGTTGCCTGCCTGGAGAAGTTGTCATTTTGGTGTCGACGCACAGAGTAACCTTGAAGACAGGCTTTGCTTTCAGCAGATAAAGGGAGAGCAGTCAAACAAACAAACAAACAGCCACAGCAGCAAAACTTCCCTGCGCAACACTCGCGCATGAAGGAGTGCACTGGCCCTAAAGGAAATCCCAAGGCGATCCATAAGACGGTCAGCAAAGGGGCTGATATGGAACAGTTTTGTCCCTGCTTTCACTCAACTCCACAGCTTCCCACCAGCATGTCTCCCGTGGGGTAGTCTGTAAATTGACCTGAACTTGGTAATGAAGGGACAGAGGCAAAAAGGCACTGTGCAGTCATGGGCAAACCCTATACTTTCCATCCACGTAACAGCCACGGCTCCCACTGAGCTTTAGGAGAAAGAAGAACAAAAGCAGCAATAACTTCAAAAGCAAGGAAAGAAGACAAATCCCGATCCAGCAAACACCTTGGCTCCTATCTCACCCAAGGTGGACGTTGTCATGGTTTGTGACAGTCAGTCTCAGGAGGTGTATCATCCAGAGCACACATTTAGCAGTTTCAGGAGTTATTCCTTGTCTCTCAAAAACACCATATGCCCAGCATCCATGTTGTGACAGCCAGCATCCTGCAGCCCCTCTGCTGGCACCAGCCATGAATCAAAGGCTGAGTGAGCCGTGAAGGATGTAGGCTGCGCACTGACATTGTCAGGCCACAGTCAAGGGGTATCAGCAGTCACTGGACCAGGGAACTTATCATGGGATTTCACAGAATCATAGAATGGTTTGGGTTGGAAGAGGCCTTAAAGGTCACCTACTTCCAACAGCCCTGCAATGTTTATACAGCACAAACACTGAAGCAAGGCAGAGAAACACTGTGCTGGCCACTGTGCTCTGATTTGTTCCCCTGGCCTGAGGATTGGTTTTTTGTTTGAATGAAAATATCTGGTGCTGTTCTCAGCTCTGCTCACCCCATCTCTTCACAACACCGAGCCTGGAGTTCTCTTCTACTCGGTAACCTAAGCATGACATAAGGAGGCAAGGAGAACTGATGCTATATTTAATTACAGTTAGGAAAGGCCTCCTGCCACTCTTCTGGTATCCTTACTAGTGGAGATGTGGAGAGGCAGCCCTTGTCTGGCCTTGGAACAGCCCCATCTGAGAGCCGACGGATGTGCGTGAGCAGCACCCGGCTGCTGGACTGGCGCCTGGAGCAACCACCCATCTCGTGCACGTGGTGATAGTGCCGGCATTTTACCCTTGGAGAGCGGGGCCAGTGCTACACTGGAACTGGCCAAGTATTCCAGAGGAAAGCACTGCAAACTGCTGCTCCGTAAGTGAAAGCTGCAGATGCCAATTACTACTGAATCCAAAGGAAAAAGGGAGATGGGATCTTTGGATCCAAATGGTTTGAAAGGGTAGTACCTATTTGCTCGCTGGACTTGAACCCATGGAGTAGGGTTTGTCCTTAAGCACTGGGCAAGATATAACTGTGAATATTCAGTGCCAAGGGACAGGACTGGCCGTGTGGGTACCCGCAGGAATTATTTGTGCTGGCATAGTGGAGCCCCAGGGGTTGGACTGAATCCATGCGTGCTCCCCGAGGCTGGCTCCCTGCTGCCAGTAACTGCCTGCCTGCAGAGAGCTCCATCGTTCCCTTGGACCATGCTTCAGGATGCAGGACGTCAGGAGCAATGTTCAGCGCTTCTCTAGCTCCATCTACAGCTGCTTTCTCTCTTCCAGCAAGAGGCCTAATGCTCTGCATCGCAGGTGGCAAGCACATGTTCTGGGACACTTTGTCATTTAGTTTCAGATATCCTAAGATCCTGGGAACAGTCCTAGCTCAGCGCAGAATGGAGCACTCCTAGCTGCTGTGACTAATACAATTTGCTTTGCTCTCTTAACCACATACAGGCTGGCTGAAGTTTTAAACTCTTTTTATGAAATCAGTAAACTCAGAAGCATATATTAAGTGCTGCTTTACACACCAGGGTTACTTTGTGCCCTCTGGAGATCCCTATTACTACTAGCATATTAACAACATGACTCTGAACTATGGTAGCCACAGCCGTGGCCCTGGAGAATGCCAAGACAAGCAAATAGTCTTACAAATGTAACCAGTTAGTGGCTGCCTAAAGAAGAATGAAGAGGCTGAAGGAGATAAGATGATGTCCCCAAGGTCTTTCAAGTCAGAGCTACAAGAAGGACACACAATTCTAGCTTCTCTGTGCGATGCTCTGATCACCAGCCCTCCTGGCAATCTGTTCCACCTAACACTCCTGCATCCCATCAAATTCCAGTTCAGCTTTCACTGGGCACTGGAAGCATCCCTGGGGAGCAGCTGGATGGATGCAGACAACACGGACTTTAGAGGTAAAGATTTTCAGTCCTTGATTCTTAATTCCTTTTCTCTCATCTCCCTGCAATAAAGCCGGCCTCCCAGCAAAGGGAAGGTGGCTCTGCCTGTACAGTGCTTGGGCCACAACCTCTAAGTATGTCTGAACATGAACCAGGTGGAAAACAGTCATCCCAGAACACACACCATCTAAGCAGCAATGAAGCAAGCTATGGCTGGATGTGACTTTTGAGACACTTTCCATGAACAGCCCTATTCTAACAGTGGTGATGCTGGCATACACAGCCCATCCCCTGCAGGAATGAGCCTCATTTCACTGATGCAAATAGCAGGTAGGGTGTCTACCCTGTTAAACTGGACAGCTACCATTTTAGTTATCCAGTAGATAACTAAATCAAAACTCTAATGAAGTTCCCTACAAGCATATTAGCTTGCAAGTGTTGTTTTGAAACCATGTTAATGTCAGAAAATCTAATATGAAGATTTGAATGGAAAGCTGTGGTACCAGTAGGACATTCCAGAGACTGCTGCTGGAAGGCCATTAGATGAACAAGGTCTCCAGAGCTGTATTTTGTATCTTGGGAGCATCAGCTTAGCTTCCTTGGACAAAACAGCACAGCAGCTTGGGAAAGCTGGGCTGGACTTCAGAGCTGACAAATGTCCCTGACTATTAGGACAGGTAAAGTACAGTGAAGCACAAGAAACTGCAGATATGTGCTTGTGTGTACACACAGATGTGAGTATGTGGGAGGTACACATGAGGTGCAGGGCTCACCTGGAGGGAGTTCAGCACGATGAAGACATAGGCCCAAATGACACTGAGGTGGACAAGGACACCACACACCCAGGTCAGCCCCAGCACAGGCAGCAGCACCAGGATGGGCTTGGCTGTGGCCCTGTCAGGAAGAAGAGCTCAGGGTTACCTGGACACATTTCAAAGCACCCACTTCCCAGCCAGCAGCTCTCAGGGGGGTCTTGGTTGTGGACACATCCCCGAGCCCAGGGTGTCCTGCTAGAGTGACTGCCAAACCCTGGCTAGGTCTGAAAACCCTGCCGAGTGTCTCACCATGATCTGCCTGGGGCATCTGCACTAGGTTATACAGAGCACTGAGCAAATCTGCCCTGAAGGAGCTGCACGGGTTTAGGAGCATCCTGGCCTTTATCTTGGGGTTTAGAAGAAACTGTCCGTGTCTCCATGCTGGCGACGGCTCTCTTCTCCCACCAAGTGCCTTTCAGATGATGTGTCCACTAAAAGGCACCCAAGATGGTAGCTATGGAACAAATTCCTTTGCAAATAAAATTAATCAAGAGGGGAAAAACCAAACATTTCAGCTCCCAGCCTCCAGTGTGCCAGCCTTGCTCTTTATTTATCACTGAGAGTTAGCAAAAAGGGAGCTCTTTGACGTCATCAGCCATGAGAAAACAGCTATTTTGCCCCAAATCGTTGCTGCAAGGAGGTCTTCTGTATTTGTTTTACTAGCCTATGGATGTCACCCTGCCCTCCAGCAATGCCCTATCTTTGTGATTCTGTAAATTTGGGAAAATTTATTTATGATAGAGGGGAACAATGTGTGTCTAGCAGGGGTATCCGGCGCCAGCTAACAACAATAAAGATCCACAGAGGATGATAAAGAAATGACTCAAGCAGCAGTTTTTTAGAGGTCTCCCTACATTGACTGATTACAGAAGTTCACATCGCCCCTTTCCCCATGGATGGAATCCCCAACAGCATTACTTCCAATCCACCAAGTCCCAAACTGACACGGAAAATGCTTTTTATAATGGCAAATAGCCAAAACCCCCGCACTCTCTACAACTGTCATCCTTCTGTGGGGCACACACAAGTGCTAAAGATGGGATAGGTTTGAGACAAAGTCAGTTATGACCCCATCAAATTGCAATGTCCTGTGAAGTGGAGAGGAGCTGCTTCTGCAGCTCAGAGTTCTTTAAAATTCCATGGAATCTGGGCACTGAGTTGGGCTCCCGGGTTCCTTGAAACACCCCAAGCTGCCACTTCAATTCCTTACAGTGATGTTTTACCAGACGTCTGCATGCCCACCAGCAAGCTGCTTAGCAGCATGGTGAACTGGTGTTAGGGGAGGAGAAGACAGCTTGGCAGTGACCTGCATTCCCACACATGCTGTCACCCATTCAGACAATTGGGTATGCTCACACTGACCATTCCCAGACCCAAAGTGCTGCTCCTGGTGATGACAACATGCCCAGGGTAGCTTTGATTTCAGTAATTCCACTATTTCATACCCAGAGAAACCACACTTGGGAAAACCAGCCCTTTTCCTGCTCACCATATCTGTATTCCAATCTGGTTCTCCAGGCTACTGTTGGGTGTCAGCATCTTTGATCTCCTGCGAGCACTGGACACGGTCACCATCACCACCCGGAACAGCACAAACGTGTTCACCTGACAGAGGAAGAGCACTGGACCGGGTTACCTTCTGTAATCTTAAATCCAATGGGGTAAGGCTTTTTTGCTGGAACTCAATAACTAAGTGTCATAACTTGGGGAGAAATGTATCACTGCTAAGAAAGCAGTGAACAAAATACTTCATAAAGCTATCCACAAACGTATGAACTCTAGAAAACTTATCTTTAAACTTCTCCTACAGAACGTCTTCCTTGTTAAGTGTCTATTCCGGACCCCTTAAACATGGCACTTTTTTCTGCCACTGTGTTGTTGTATAATGATACTGACAGTACTTCAAGGCCATAGATGTTCCCATATAAAAATCAGACCTTCAGTTAGGGCAGTGTCACAGTCAAACTACACATTTATCTACATTCCTAATTTAACAGCCAATACAAGAACTGGTCAGCAAAGTTTTCTTAAAACATGTTTTTCCTATCAAAAAGCTGCTTTGGCTAAAGGGATTTATTTATATTGTGAAAGCATACATAAAATAAAATTTTTCTTGTAAAAGCAGCAGGCACAATGTGAGCATTGCTCTAGCTACAGAAGTGCTGACACCCCTGACTCTGCAGTGCTTTCCTAAAACCAGACATGAAGGAATCACACCTTCCCGGCAGGTTTTGGCACTTACAGCCAGGATGAAGAGAACAGGGCCAACAAAGGCCCAGATGACGTTGGTCTGAACGTTCAGCCAGCAGTGGGTGTCTGCCACATACTTGTCAAAGGAAGTTGCAAGGGTCACAGCCACGACAACGACTGGAAAGCCTGCAGAAAAAAAGCACAAATTGAACCAAGGAAAAGCGGAGCTGACCCATGTCAGCTGTGCTCTAGACAATTGCTTCAACCCCCCCTGACCAGACATGCTCCAGCATGAGCCAGCTTAGCCTCTGAAACCCCATGAGCAACATCAATTTATTGCAGCTGAAATCAGTCCCGGCTCTGCAAGACCAGATTTATACGCTGTCAGCATCATTCTCCTAGGTATAAAGCATTCCAAGTCCTGAGTCCCGATCAAAGCAATTTACTCTTCAGATTGCTTTTTTAACAAAATGGACAATCAAAGACATAAAACAATCCAAAATACTTGAACCAGTTGCCCAATGTCCAACTAGGTGTGTGTTTTGCAAGGAGCACTGACCTGAAGAGGCTTCTCTTTAACATGAAACTCAGTTTATTCAAATAAATTCTATGTCCCTCAGGGGCTTGCTCAGAATAAAGGGTGCTTAGTCAGGAACATATTTATATTTTAATTACTATCAGAGAGTAGTAAGGCTCTCCAAGAACAAGAACTTACCATTAACCTCCTCCTCCATTTTTTTGTATTGAACACTTGGATTTAGAAAAATAACAGAAATGTTTTTAACTTATATATTCTAATACTTGCACTTTGACACATAAAGATACAGCCTCTTCAGAGCAGCAGCACACAGCTCTCATACTGAATCAAATCAAATATTTGGGAATCTATCCTTCCTACTGAAACTTTTGCTAGACAAAAAATTGACACATTTTTCTGAGCACCCTATGCAAAGGAACCTGTAGATACCCCAGCCTGTCACATAGTAGAACTTCATTCTCTTGTCTTCACTCATGTTGACTGCTACCACTTTGCTCCAGAGGAGAAGCCCCTCTACCAGCATCCATGAAAAGGCTGCCATGAAGAAGAGGTGAAGGAAGGCAGTGATCATGAAACACATCACCTGGAGAGAAGAGAAATCACATGCTGTTTCAGGAGAAGATGGAGTCCTCTGAGAGCTTCTGAGTGTGTATGGTCAGGAGGAAAAAGCAAGTTATGTGTAGAAATGTGTTTAAACATCCACAAGCACCAGGAAGAGTTATTGAATGATTAATGAAACATTAATAAGAGTGATCACACTTTTGTTTGCTCTGACAATAACGCTTGATCAGGCCTGGTTCTGGTGGCTCAACAGGACACTTTCTGGTGAGCTTACCTGGTTGGTCTTGGCCAGTTCACTGAACATGAGCAGAGCTTCTGCTGCAGCTAATGCAAAGATCAGGTTCTTGTGCACGGTTGTTCGTTCGCTCTTGGGGACACTGAGCAAGAAGAGAGGAAGCCCTCAGATGCAGTCACAGGAAAGGATCCATTTATTTTATAAAAATTAACCCTAGAAGAGCAGCTTGTATGGTAACATTATTTGTTATTGCTAAAAGTCTTCCCACAGACACTCAGGTGTGTGCACAGCTCATACAAGCATCTCCACAGAAACAACCAGCACTGCACCGCCTTTGTAGCCAACGACCACTGCTCCCCTCCCTGCCCTCTGCTACCAGCAAAGGGTATCTTGTTTGTCTACTTGTTCTGAAGCAAAGTATAAAAGAATACAGGGAAGGCTACAAGTGTCTAGACTTTTCTTACCCAACTGCCAAGAATAATACGAAGGTAACTATCAAAGCACAGAAAGAAACTCCACATCCAATAAAAGTCAAGGTCTGCAGTGTGAGTTCCTCCTTGGTGGTCCTCTGCTCCAATCATGAAACAACAGAAGACACAAAATCCACACAAATCAACCACAGACTGCTCCCAGTTTGGCATCCACCCCACAGAACAGCACAGAAAGGCTCCTGGCTTACCTGCATATTGTACACCTGCAGCAGGACAGCAAAATTTGTGGTGTGGTTGCAAAAACAGGCAGTAGAGTCCGGGAGAGACGTCAGCACAGAGCAGCCAGCTGTGGACCACATCCCACCAGCATCTGGGCTAACGCAGCAAAAAAAAACCCAGGGAAAACACATGGAAATTACCATTCACTTCATCAGAAAGCTAAGGTATTGAGGAAATTCCATTCTCCCAGAAGCAGCAGAGTTGAAAGGAGGATATCAGAGACATCCTTTCATATGGACTTTCCTTTGGCTCATCCTGTCTCAGCAGCTTTGCCTTATTCAGGAGTCACACACAAGAAAACAGCCTAGTGTCAACATGTACATTAAAACCCCTGTCAGTGCTGCCCCTCTGAACCTGCTCCAGTACCAAGAGAAGAGCAAATTCAGAGCAGGGCTAGTGGAACGGTTTGTGCAGTGACCAGCTGCTTCCACAAGCACCCTCTTCCCATCTTCCTCAAACCGATCCATGCCTGTTACAAGACTGGGACTCAAATGAGGTTTATTTGCACTTGAGTGACTTAGTTACCAACCCATGATATATCACAGTTTCAGTGCTCACTGCGGTGACATTCAGCAAAAAAAAACATCTCAGTGCCAAGCAGTATTTATGAGGCTGGGAGTCCTGCATGTCTGTTGGGCTGTATATCTTGGACCAGCCCTTCTTTGTTGCAGGCAACAATCATAATTAATTAGGGCTTTGCATTTTATTTGCATATACCTCAGTAAAGGTCACTTGCTTGTGAGTGACTTTTCCAAGGGAAATCTTCCCAGGAAAGTGCTCTAATCGAGCAGATAAAGGATGCCAGCATGCAAAGCAGGAGAAGAATTACAGATCCCTACTCTTACCATTACATTTATATTGTTATGTTTGGGTTTCCAGGTGAAATAAAAGCTCATATATCTGGTGACCTGAACTGAAACAAGGCACCTGAGGCTGAAGTTCCAGAAGGCACAGATGGGCCCCACTGGTGTATTGGACAAGTCCTGCAGGCAGAGAGGGAGAAGAAGAGATTACATATCCATACACATACACAGATTGATGCAGTTCACTCAATAGGCTGCAACAAGGTCTGTCAGCACAGGAAAAACACCTCCCCAGAGAAATGTGAGTCAAGGTGAGAGACCTGGGCATGGGACACCCCTAAGTCCAAGATCTCTGGGGGCTGTGAGCCAAGGCTGGGCACAGCCTATCATGTCAGGGTGTGGCATTAGAAGCAGAGCCCCTGCTCAGGGTACCTGGACACGGTGCTGCAGACGGTAGCGCACAGACGTGCTGATCTCCTGGTAGTCACTAAGCAGAGCAGCGGAGATCACAGCAGTGCCCACAGCAGTGCTCAGGTACCTGTCAGGGAAAGCACAGGACCAGGAACCAGAAAACAGGGTCTCACATTATACACATAAGACAGCTGGAGAGATCCAGAGCCACTTCTGGAGTGCTTCCGTGCTACCAGCAAAGGGCCTGGGCACAGGGCAGAAAGTACCTCAGATTACCTGGCAAACAGAAACCACCACCAGTCCCCCCATAACTGCAGATGAGGAACTGGAGCATCTCAAGCGGCTGGCAGCTGAGCAGCACAGTGGCTGAGCCTGAGGTCCGGGAAGGAGCAGTGCTGGATGTGCGAGCTGCCATCCCCACCTAGTGTCCAGAGAGCTCCGTGGAGAGCTCCAGGGCTTTGGGAGCCACTGTTCAGAGGCATCCCGGCTCCCAAAGCTTCGGCCCCAGCAGGAGGGGACCCTGCAGCAGCCCCACAGCTTCTGACCCCAGCCCACCCCAACAGAGCAAATAACTTCAAGGGGACAAGAGTCATGCAGCAGAGATACGGTGCATTTCAGACTTGGAAATGAACTCTCCAGTGGTGCTAAGAGGAATGCAAGGAGGGAGGTTGTGTTTCACTCACTTCTGTCCTCCATCAGAGGCAGGCATGTCCTGCAAGACAGCAGCGCTGACAGTGCCGGACAGACAGCGCTGCAGGGAGCTGTAGCCAAACCACATGTTCTTCACCACAACTCTGTGGAGACCTGGGGGGACAGAGTGTTGCAGGACAGGTACAGGCACACAGAACAGCTCTGAGCAGTCCACACTGCAGCACCACTTCTCTAATCTTGACTGTTCTTGCCATTAAGGAAGATGCAGAATTGGCAAGGTGAGACCCAGGGAAGCATGGTAATCATAACCCACCTCTGGCTTTCAGTCTTTGCATTTCTTCTGCAGGAACTTCAATGAGATCGTGACTGTCTTTCTCAGGGGTCTGGACCAGGTATGCCTCACTGCTCAACTGCCTGCCCAGCTCCAGCTTCCTGACTTCCATCCCTGTGGAGGGGCAAAATCAGATACTGATCCAAGGTTCAGCCTTCTGCAGAGCTGCTGCTACAGGAAATTACCGCAAGCACACAAGGACCCAGTCAAGACTCACAGCAGTAGCAGACAGCTCCCTTTCAGTGCAAACCGTGGCTTAAGTTTGTCTCCTGACTTGGACTGGGAACCAGACAGGATGACTAAGCTGGGTAAGATGCCCTCCCTCAGTTTTGCCAGTGCTACTCACCAACATTCCCATGCTGGACCGTGATCTTTGTCCTCCCTGCTGTCAGTAGTGGAGCCAAGAGTGACACCATTCTGTCACAGAGCTCAACAACAGCCATGGGCCCTCTGATAACCTGCAAACACAGAGGGAGCAATGAAAATCAGCACTCGCATTGCCAACTCACACTTCCCACAGCTCACAAGAGCTTTCTTAAATGCTTGGGAGAAAAAGCAATGTTCAAGGTGAAGGCTTTTGGTTTGCCTTTCCTTTGATTTCTTCACTAAAGGATGTTCCCAGTTCCTTCAGCAAGGAGACAAGCACTACCCCTGTAGTACATAAACTCACCCCCTTTCTCCTTCAGCAGATATATCTGCTGCACCATCTACACTGGGCCAGAGTTGGTTCTATGCCACGATCGAGAAGCTGTGAGTAATTGTGACCACAGAGACCTAAGCAACTCTAAGCGATGAAGTAAACTGAACTATTCAGCATCCTTTCATCTCTGGAGGTCCCTGGCTTGGTTCCTGGAGCATTGGCCAAACCAGATGCTGCCACACATTTCCCAGAGTCAGGTGGAGACTGCAGATCATACAACAGACACAAAAGACCCATGTGAGATGGGAAGAAACTAATAGGAAAAATCCTGACGGGGGTGGGATGATGGAAATCCCCCACACAAAGCCTGACAGTGTTTTGAAGAGTGTGGGGGCTGATGACAAATAGCTCCTTGGCAGCCCACCCACAGAAAATACAACAAACCATAAAGTGAAGGGCACTGCCAGGCTGGAGGGAGCAGGATGTGGGAGCAAGGAATCTAAAAAGCACTGAGAATCTGCAAACTGTGTAATCCTGTAAATCCAGGCATCACAGAATACCAGGTCCGAAGGGACCTCAAGGATTATCTGGTCTCTTGAAGAGAGCCAAGACAACCACTGGAGGAGTTCGCAAGGAAGGCACCACTTGACTGCACTTGTTTGCAGAAGAACTTGTTTGCACCTCCAGCAAATGAGACAACAGTAAGGCATCTGGTCCTTATCTGAGCTGGCAAAGAGGCTCCATGCCCATCTTTGCAGCATTTTCACAAGCTCCAGAATACAGCCAGAAAGACTACATGCAAGGCTGTCCATTCAAGGACAGGTTCTTAGCTTGTGGTCATACAGCAGGCCAAGGAGCTGCACACACAAGATGAACAGCTGTGGTACACAGCAGCCAGACTGCTGATGACACCATTACCTGGCTGACTGATGACCATGCTTCAATATTCTGTTCTTCCAAGATTAACTCAGTCACTTCCACAAAATACTGGCCCAGCTGCTCCAACATCTTCAGCTCTTCTCCCTCCTGGATTTCCACATCAGAAACTTGCTTTAATAATTGAAGCACTGAAAGAAGGTCAGATGACTCCAGCACGGGTGTCTCTTCTTCCTTCAGAACTGTTGCCAAGACATCAAGAGCACCAAGAGCAACAGAGAGGTTCATGTCTTGGACATCACTTGTAAAGATGCTCTCAGGAATCTGCCATGAAAAAGATGTTTCAGTTCAGTGCAGAGCCCTGATTCTGCCTGATCATCAGCTATGCCTTGGGAATACCCTGCATGCCCTCACTGGTGTGAGGACACTAGCCTGGCCAACTGGGCATATCATAGGAGATCTGCCTTGACATTTTGAACTCTCTTGTCCAGTCTGTCACCCTCAGTGAGATGAGTCAACTCAAAGCAATACTTTGTTTGCTTGATCACAGCACAAGCTACATCTGTATTGGTCACACTGCTGGCAAAGTGACCTCAAACACCCATAGGTGCCAGCAAGTCCACCCCAACAGCTCCTGCCTGCTCCTGGTGTCAGCTGCCACTGCTGGGGCTCAGGACTCACCACAGTTCTCTCTGCAAGCGTGTTCACACGGCCGACAAGTGAATGGCTGGATTCTAGATGAGCTTTTTTCAGCTGCCAGTATGCATCTGAGAATAAAACATAACCATTGCTGTGGTGTCTAGCAGCGTGGTTATCACATGCCATGTTCAAAGCCTGGTCCTCATGTGGTGGGTAAATCTGCAGGACACTCAGGACAAGGAGACTTCACAGCTCTATTTTATTTCTAGTACAAGATCCCCCAAACAGACTGCCTCCTCCCCATGTTCCCCTGGCCCATGAGTCTGGAGATGCTGGGATTGGGAGGCATTGTACAGCACTGCATCCAGAAACCACGTAAATGTGTATAACCACGACTTAGCTGGAGAACAGCAAAGTAATCTGTCAGAGTGCTTGCAACTGAAGCAGTGTCACAGCTCCAGCAGGTTTTGCATGCGATCTCTTCAGAGCAGAAACAAGGCCTTCCCATCACTGCCCATCATCCTACCTAGGACCTCCAGAAATGAATGCTGTGGAAGTAATGAATAAATAAGAAATAGATGCTGTACCCTTTCTGTAGAGACAGATAAAAGGCAAAGTCTGCAAACAAGACGTGTAACTGAATCCATTGCTGCCAACTTCAAAAACTCGGCATTCTTCAACAGGCCCTGTGGAAACACAAAGAGAAAGCCCAGGTTCCCCAGAGACACACCATCCCCAGGACATCTGAGCAGTTGTCTTTGCTAGGGCCAGTGCAGGGGTCTTCAATGACCAAGGGTTCAGTGATGACTGTGCTTCTAAGTATGATTTGTAAACTGCCGAGCCCAGCTCTGAATGTGCTTCTGCTTTCCTTCCCAAAGGAGAAAGTTCCACAAACTGCACCAAATTCCCTCTCCAAGGATGGGCCTGGCTTCTCAGACTATCCCTGCATGCTGAACCCCTCTGCAGAAGGGAGCTGAAGCAGTGAGGGTAATGAGATCTACCTGGGCAAAGAAACTGTGCAGTCACTTCCTGAACGGTGCTTTCAATCTCCAGAGTGTTTGAGCTCCACCGAAATACAAGGTCTTGCTCCACCACCCAGCATGACCGAACCTTCTCAATCTGCTCCATGCTGAGAACTTTCTGCCAGATGTGCAAGTCAGTGATGTTCCCACTGAAGGACTCTTTCTCCTTGAAGCTGCCTCCCAGGGAATCTTGATCTTGCCCAATAATGAAAGTCCCCTGGCCATAGATGGCCTGGGGGGCAGACCCCACAGCACACAAACCACTGGCAGATGCTCTTCTTTTACCATCAGCATAGATGGCCCAGGTCCCATTCTCCTGCTGCCAGGTCACACAGAAGTGATGCCACTGTCCGTCAGCACGGAACACAGGCAGATATGGGGAATGGTGCTCATGGACTATGAGAGCAAATCGAACAAATCCTTCCTCATCAACAAAGCCACGGAGCTGGAACTCATTAATAAAAGCCGGCACAGCATAGGAGAAGATTGTAGCAATCTCCTGGGTCCTGGTGTCCCACTGGAGGTGGGCGCAGGCTGTGACAGCAGGCAGGGCTGGGAAGTCAGAGAGCACCTTCACGTATTTTGTGTCTGTTTTGTCTCCAAACACCAGGACTGGTACAATGTGGTTCCCTAGAAAGAGATATTTCAGCCAGCATAAAAGAAGAAGCATGTGCTAAAGCCTGATCATCTTCCACTGTGATGAAGCCATCATTTTCATTTGCCTCCTACTCAAGAATTCATGGACCCTGCAGGCAAAGACATCCTGCAAGTATAGAGCAAGGCTTCTGTTTCCCCCGTACCTGGAGGGGATCAGGAAGGCAGGCAAGCTGAGATTGAATCATTTCAGCGAGTGTAATTTCCAGACACATAAGTTTCTAGCAAATAGGATTGCAGAAAGTGAATATGGAAGGAAGCACATGCTCCTTAGCATCCCAAATAAGATGTCTGAGGCATCTGCCCTGTGGTGCCTTGCTGCTGAGGAATGCCTGTTCTCCTGGCCCTGTCTCTAGTATTGCTCTGCAGAACCTGCAGGTCACAAATAGTGAGGCTGAGCACAGCTAGACCTGCTTTAGAGGGGATGGTACAGGAAGGCAGAGCAGAGGAGCCCCATTGTAACTCCGTTCTGTGGCAATGCATTAAAATATTTTGTCAGTGACCAGGATGTGCTGGAATCACCGTTGTTCATATTGCCAGGTCCAGATTGTGGCTAGAGGTCCTGGGTGGTACCACAATGACAGTAAAAACTGAGTGGCAAATTTTTCCAGTCAGAATAAAAAAGACCAAGCAGTGAACATGTCCAAATAGTCCAAGCTCACTTATACTCACGTCTCCGTTTTGGCTTGTGAAGGACACCATCTCTTTCATTTAACCAGACAGAGCCTCTGATGTGGTGGGAATGTAGCAGTTTGCTAAAGGAAGCTTGCTCACTGCCTTGGGGTTCAACATGCAACTGAGCAAAGCGCTGTTCGCAGTATCTGTCGGCATGCCACCAGTCTAAAGCAGTGGCCACATATTCATACATGTGTCTTGAGGTCTCAATCGTGACAGGAGCAAAACCTGGAGAAAGACACACAATACAGAGAAGCAGAAAGCATTTCCAACCCAATTCTGTGACATGCAATACAAGGTCAGTCTCTTGCAGTATCCCCAGGCATTTAGAAATGCTGCCTGGTCGATCCTGGAGGGGCTGAAGACACCAGCTCATTTCCGCATCCAGCCGTCGGGATGTTCAGTGGGCACAGTGTGATAGAAAATTCCAGGCTACTGGAGTCCTTTACATTGGCCCTAAAATGAGGGACATTTGTGAAGCTGCTTACAAACTGAATTACTGGCCTTTGGCAGGGGCTGGGCACACTTCAGCGGGACACACAAAACAATGCAAAGCTCAGCCCTAAAACCTCACTGTAATACCCCCAGGGATCGCCCTCAGGGTAGCTGGTTCCAAGCACCTATGTACAAGGAAATGTCTTCATTTTAGCCCCATTTCACAGCTCCTACCAGCTTCTGCATTTGCAGATGCAATTTACAAGCATAAAATAATGTGGTTTGTTTGCAGTTACAGTGGCACAAAGACTAGCAGCTGAGCAGTACTTACCTAATTTTAGACACTAATTTCATGGTTAGCCAAGCAAATATTTAGCTCTGTAAATATAATTTCAGGCACAAAACCAGGTATCAGAAAAAGTTTATAGTTTATTTACTTCTGTTTCTGCTGCTGGACACCTTTTAATGTGCTGCTTCTCTGTGCTGAATATTGCTTGTAAAAACGTGCCAAAGTGCTGATAAAAACACTAACCTTTAGAAGTTTGATTCCTGGCAAGGGCTGCAAAGGCGAAGAGACTCCTGGACAGGCTACCGACCTGTTGGAGAGAATGTTTTGTAACATTCATGTAAAGCATTACTATTATCTCAAATACTAAATTAAGTTACAGTAAGACTCACCAGAAAGCTGAAGAACCAAGAATCAGGTCTCAAGTCTCTCCTAAACATGCTGACCAGCTGGAAAGCTTTCACCCTTTGCTAGGATAAACAAAATATTAGTCGAGATGCATTGCAGAGACAGAAGCATTCTGCAAAAAGCCAGTTCTCAGACAAGGCTGCTTTCCTCGAAACGTTTTGAATCAAAATAGAGAAAACTACTCTGAAATCCCATCAAAATATTGTATCTTATTAAAATAATTCTCAGTTCTTCTTAAAGAACTCAAGGTCTCAGTTTAACATTTGTTTCCAGGATACGGAATATTAATCATAAAACATACAGATGTGTGATATTAATGGACAGGCGAGTTAGCAGAGCCTCTTTATCTGCATTAACTAAATAAAAAAGCCATTATAAATTGCACTGTTAAACAGTGTCACGTCACCAGCAGCTTTTCTCATTTCTTTTAAAGCCTGCAGGAACACAGCACCAGCACAGAACCTGCACACCAGTAAACGTCTATGAGCAGCACCTGAACACACAGCCCAGTTCCACGGAGCTGTCCTGGAGAGCTGCCCAATGCTGGGACTCTGTCGCTGCACCACCTCTGCTCCGGTGGAAGGAAACCCTGAGTGTGTGGCTGTATAACATCCAGTAAAGTCATAGGTAAGGGTACATAAAGACACAAACATGGAAACTGGCAATGTGATCTCCAGTGCAAACAAGTCCGAAAGCTGTGTCTCTGCACCGACACTGCCAGCAGTGAGTAATCTCCTTGCTTGCAATGGGGCTCTCCTGTGTGCACACTAAAAGCACAATTAAGGACTTCACTGCTAAGGGACTACGGAGATCAGTTCTGCAGCCTGGACTCGGTGTTTGCAACCTGTCTTCCCGAGTTCAGTCAGCAGCGATTTTATAAATACTAAACACAGCTCTAGGCCCTCCAGGGAGGTGTTTGTGTGGTTCTGTGCCCAACTGATGGCGAGTGATGTGGGCCAGGACGAGCCGGGTGGTGCTATGCTAGTGGACAGACACCCCCAATCCCATTCCTGACCACCAGCAGCCCCAGGTTTTCACTTCTTCACGGAGGTCCCTGGGAATGCTAACACGGGAAATGTGGATCACGGTCTGCCAGAAAAAACGTGGCAGCGAGGGAGCTGCAAGCGATGCAGCCGGCAGCCAGGGTCTGACAACGTCCTGCGGAGCTCGGGGAAGTGGGTAGCTCCAGCCCAGCGGTCTCCGGGCCAAGCCCGAGAGCCGGCCCGGCAGCGGGAGCCCGGTTGAGCACCAAAGCACCGCCCTGGGGCTTTGGCAGCCACGGCCCCGACTGACAGGGGGGTCCCACGGCGGGTCCGCTCCGCGGGCACACTGCGCACCGAACACCGCGCCCCGCTCCGCACCCCTTAACCCCCAGAGCCTCCTCCGTGCCGGGCGCCTCCGCCCCGCCAGCGCCGGCCGGGAACGCACAAAGGGGCTGCCGCTGCCTCGCCGGGCCCGCCGGAACCCCGCGGGCACCACTGGGCTGGACAGGGCTGGGCTGGGCTGGGCTGAGCCTGGCTCCCTGGGGTGGGGCTGGGCTCGGGTACCCTCACCCCGCACGCCCACCCCCGACTGGATCCTCCCGCACATCCCACTCCCGACGCCCTCGCGCCGACTAACAGGAAAGCACTCACAATCCTCCGCGCTCTGCAACCTGTGTTAGCAGCACAGGGGATCTTCTTCCCCGGCAATCACTTCTCCATGGAAGTCCCCGATGAAGCTTCCCAGGAGATCTGGCACATGGTGTTGGCAGAAAAAGCAGACAGTGGGGGAGTTTCCAGGGATCCTCACAGTAGCAAGAGCCTAACACCAGAGTGCTCAGGAGTACAGGTGAAGAAGGCCAGCTCTAGAGATGTCTAGGAGAGTAAACAGAAGAGCAGGCTGATACAATGAGCAGAGCTCACTGAGAAAGAGGCAGAGTCAGACCAGCAGCAGCTCTGCAGGGCACTTCCAGCATGTCTCCAGTGTAATTCCCTTGCCCAGCAGCTTCAGTGTTCTGGCATTTCGTTGAGTTTGGGCCCGTGACAGTCCTGGAGAGAACATGAAGGCTGGAGGGCTCAGGCCACCTCCATGGGCCAGCAATGCTCCCCGCCTCACAGGACAGTGCTGCTCTTTCAGTTTATGCCCACTCACTTTTGCTACAGCAACAGGCACACAGTTCCCACTCCTCCCCTCTAAGTGAATACTTGAATCACACCATGGATTCACAGGCAACTGGCTTTTGTTCTTGAGGGTCTTCGTCCGGGAATGAAGGCAATTACAACATCCCAGTGCCTCTGCTTGCTGCAATAAATCTCTCAAAGAAGAATGGCCCTCGGAGGCAGCTGCGCTGGGCTGCTTAGTCACTGCTGCCAGTTGGGAAACAGCCTGGCACTCCCAGACAGTGCAGCACAGAGCACCAAAGGCTTGGAGAGAGAGGGCTGTGCTGCTCACTGTGGATTGGCCAAAACTGGATCCTACTTTCCCTTGGTGATGGAAGGAACAAAGGGGGTGAGGCAGAGCTCTAGTTTACACCAAAGATCTTCAGAGGAAAAGTGCAAAGTGTTTTTCAAACTCATGGCTGGATTAGGTTTAATAAGAGTTAGAGTTCCCCAGCTCATAGTAAACTGTTATTTATGCTGATGTCTTAGAATTAAGCACTTTTTGTAACAGCAATAAATACAGTTTCCTAGTAGCATTAGAAATGGAATCCAGGCCACAGCCTCCAGCATCACTCCTCTTTTCTATAGCCACACAAATAAACTATCCTCTGTGCACATGCAGAGAGGTGAAGTTTCCTGTGCTCACTGAATGCTGCCTGTATGTAACCTCACATACACAAGTTCTTTGGATTTATATTTGAACTAACTTCTGTAATTACACACTGGACTTTCAAATAAGATTCAGTGCTTTGGCTGGGATCAAGGGCAGCTCTAGACTCTGGTGAGAACGTTTCACTGGTGTTTCAAAGAAAAGGTCACAGCCAGCAAGTGGAAGCTAATAATTGGCACCTCGTTGTACTTTCACCTAAAATCAACCTAAAAGAGCTCAGGCTCCCGGGCTGCTGATCAAGTCCAGGGAGTGGGGTCCAGATCCTGGCCTGCTGGATGCTTCCTTTGGACCTCTCAGCTCTCCAGAGGATTTCCTGCAGCCACATGCACACATGGGCACTGCCATATGTTTGTTCCTTGCCATGGCAGCAGTCATTGCCACCAGTGCTGGTAATCCATCATTGTAGTGACACTAAATCCCACAAAGCAAATATTCTAGCCAGTCAGCTGTCTCCTTAAGGAGACTGCAGTTCCCGAAGTCAGCCTTCATCCATCCATCTCAAAACTAATTAGAAATAACAGAGTTCTTAGAGTTAAGAGGTGTCCATCCAGTGCAAGAAGACCTTACCAAGCAGACATATGACCTTGGGATGGTTAGATGGTAAAATCCCAATGTACTTTTAATGCCTGTAAATCTCTTTAATAAGCAGCTGAGGAAAGGGCAAATTGTGCTGTGCAGTATGAGAGATGCTGTCACTCTGGGTTAGCTTATTTTTAAATTGGTTGTGATCCTGTTTACATGCAGTCAATTTAAAAAATCAGCTCAGGTGCATTTTAAGAAGTGTTATGCTTACCAGTTAGTAAACCCTGATCTGCCACTCTCGAGGCACATCTTTCACACAACCCTTGGAAGAGCTTCCCAGCACATGGGCGAGCAACATGTTAAACTTTATAAATCAAGTGTTTGCCAAGTGGAGTAGAAAGCCATGTGTCTAAGCAAGATGCATTGAAAAATGGAACAAAGTGCTGTGTGTGTCAGAGATCACTGGGTCGTGTTGCAAACCTGTCCCTTGCAGAGTTATCCTTCAAAATAACATTCCCTAGCCCAGCTGTAGATGGTATTTCACTCCAACATTTGTTTCTTCCCACTTTTTACTGCACAAAACTGACCCTTTCTCTGACCCAGCTCCTCCTCATGGAGTTTAATGTTATCTGAACTTTGTTTGAATTAGACTGGGTTCTCTGCTGAGACAGGGCTTGAGTGTTGACTTAGGAGGCTACTGCAGTTCAGATCTTTCGGGGTACCCTTGTGTATCTGCATATGGATGTTTCTGCAAGGGGTGATTCCAGGTAGTGTTTGAAATAAATGAAAGCACGGAGTCTTCATCCTAATAACTCCATCTTTGCCTGTCCAACTGCTTATTATTCAGAAAGAAGAGTGAAGGAGTTGCTGCTTCTCTCTTGGCTAATACTGGGTACTTGAAAAGGGGCAGTTGGGCTGTTTGTGAGTGCATAGGTAAGAACTGGAGCTTTCTGCTGTCTCTAATTCAGGCACTTCCTTGAGGGGTGCAGACAGAGCCCAGATGTCTCTCACATGAAGAAACTAAAACTTCAACTCACTTCTACAGGGCCAAAACACTTCTGCTTTCCAGTTCCACAAGCAAAGCCTTCCATCAAACGCCATCCCCCCCCCACCTAAAGGGCATTGCAAATGGGCAGTTTGTAACTTCCACAAATCGAAGTCTGTGGCAGACTTAAGGCTGAGAATGGACAGTCTACCACTGAAAAAGGAACTGATGGATTTCTGAGTGTGTTCTCAGTCTGTGTATTTAACAGATGCCTGGAACAGACACTTCAGTGCTAAACCTCCTCTCCTTTTCCTTCCCACGCTCCTGAGATTCCCATGTGTGAAGAGAAGTGTGAACTTGCTGTCCCATGAACTCCAGCTGGATGAAAGGCTGCTGGCTTCTGCTCCTGCAGGACCTCCGGGTCAGCTCTCCCAAAAGAAGATTAACCAGTGTTCAGGAAGCAATTAACACTGCATTGCAGTGATCCGGTTGTGGCACAACTTCCCGCTGTTCCAGTTGACAGGGAGATGTCAATCCAGGACATCTCGTGTCTGTCACTCTAGGCAAGCTGTTGACACATGTTACCACACTCACATGGATCAAGGTATCTGAAGCAGCAATGCCTGGAAAAACCTAAGACAATGCTTCCACCTCCTCTGGACAAAGCCACATCACCACCTAACTAGCCTCCATGCACCTGTTACCCAGAAGACTGTTGCGTAGCTACACAGCAACTGACTACCTAAGCTAGCTAGCAGCAGCCA